TACAGCCCCACAGTCTTATGAACATGCTATGATCTCTTGTTACTCACTCCGATTACTGTCCTTGTGATGTCAGCTTACACAGCCTGTCACAGGGTTGTGGTTGTGTCAGTGTGTATACATGTTGTAAAGTGTGCATGTATGCATGTCTGTATGTCAGTGTGTTTGTGTTTGTTTGCAGGCTCAACAGTCCCCCGAGTTATGTGAGTGTGGCCCGGTCTCCATTTTCCAGTCTCTCTGGTCAGTGGCGTCTGCCTGGCCGTGCTGGGAGGCTGCAGGAGACAGGGACATCTGTCTGCGAGGGTTGCCGCTGTGCATGGTGTTCCAGTGGCGTTTCAGATCCGACGCTTTGATGAAGGCTTTGTCGCAGGAACCGCAGTTGAAGGGTCGCTCGCCTCGGTGCTGCCGTTCATGGTCTTTCAGGTGAGACTTGTGCTTAAAGGCCTTTTCGCACATTTGACACGCAAAAGGGCGCTCATTACTGTGGACCCTCTCGTGCCTCTTCAGATCGGGGCCCCTGATGAAGGCCTTACCGCACACCACGCAGCGGTGCGGCTTGAAGCCAGAGTGGATCTTCAGGTGCTCCTTGAGGTGGGCGGCGGTGGTGAAGGCTTTGGGGCAGTGCTCACAGCCGTAGGGGCGGTTGGCAGTGAGCAGTCTCTCTTTTTTGGCGTTGTGGTCCATGGGTTTTGCTCCCGTGCTCTGGCAGGAGCCGTGGTCGCGGTGGCCGTACAGCAGGTACTCCAGCTTCATATCACTGGAGGAGGAGGAGCCCCAGCTGTGGCTGTGAGGGTCTTTGCCCATGTTGGTGTTGTAGTTGTGTGGCTGAGAGACGTGAGAGCCACCAGGCCCCATGCTGTCCATCCCCTGATCATAGAAGCTGTTCTTCCTCACCTCCTCCATAGCCAGTTCCTTAAGGATGGCGTCCTGGGCTCTCATCCCGTGGTCACCCGGAGCTTGGTTTTCCCGAGTTTTCATGTTGGTCAGCTCACGTTTCTGAGTACACAAGTTATCCAGGAAGTTGATCCCCAGGATCTGACCGGACGACATCATCATATTGATGTCCTTCTTCCTCACAGCCAGCCTGGCTGTGTACATGTAATTGAGCACCTCTTCAAAGATGTCTGAGCGGATGAAGTCCAACTCCACGATGGAGTTGTCCTCGTCGCTTTGCTTCTTAAAGAGCTTTTTGAAGTAGTTGCTGCAGGCTGCCAAGACACAGCGGTGAGCCCTGAACTCGATGTTTTCCACCACCACCACCACATCACAGTGCTCACCTTCCATCCTCTGCTGATTCAGCATCTTCAGAAAGGTGGCTTTGTGGTCATAGTCGATATATCTCAGTAAATCAGACATGTTGCAGGTCAGATAGGAGCAACCTGCAGAGGAGACACAGCACACTGTCAAATACTGAGATTTCAATAACAAAGCGGGGCATGGATGTAGCTGTACAGCTGAGGGGTGGAGCTCTGTATGCATGCCTCCTATGAAAATACGAGCATGCTGAGTATGCAACACACATAGCAGTTATTGGAGAAACTTGCAACCAAAAGCGTATTTGTTAATAAATGACCGCCTGAAAAGCAGAGAGTAAACAAGAGGCTAAATCAATCATGCAGAAATCCTTAAGAAAAAATACGACAGGCCCGACAGCGACACAAGCTGCAGCAGCGCGAAGAAAAGACAGAAACAGCAGCAGAAACAAACTGACGCACTTTTCTTTACTTAACAAATGCGTTTTTGCCGCAGTGTTGCGTGACAGTCGCGTTGCGTGAAAGGAGGATAACCTTAGCAAGAATATTTCACATTTCACTGCGCCCAGCCATTTTGGTCAGCAAGCCTCCATTGGCATGTTTCTGCTGTCTTTAAGTCAGTTCACAACCAGCGGAGACACGGAACCCAACACAAGGACACACGACCGTCGAAACGCGGCGCGGTTTTCTGCGCCGCCCGAGGAGACAAAGAGAAAACAGAAAATGTTAATACCCGAAGCCTGAACGCGATCCCTGTGTTGTCACGCAAGGCAGTCGACGACGATCCAGAGCTGTCGTTTTTCCTCTTCCTCCTCTTGTTGTGACTGAGCGGCTCCGCAGGAAGCGCGCCACCGCTCTGCTGCCGCCTGCAGCCTCGGAGCGGTACTGCAGGGACGCTCCATGGCCACAGACAGGAGGAGCCTCAGTCCTGGCCGAGTGTTGGTCTGGCAGCAGCACCACCTCTTCATTTGTCAGTTATGGGAATTTATATATAAGATATTAATAATTACCGAAATTCTTGTGCCAGATGTTGTTCAGAAATGTTACATGTGAATAAATACAGGCCTAAAGGAAAAGTATGACACCAAAAAATAAATACATGAAGTCAAAGAGACTGTTGTAAAAATAAAACTCATACTTCACATAATATTGAAATACTGCAATGAAACTGAAATATTGCACATAAAGCTAAAACGAATGTATTTTGCACACACTGTTGAGGAAGTAATATGGCAGATGATGCTGATGCCACTGCTGAGTGCTTCAGCTGCTCAGGAGGAACAGAAGAACAGTTTGATGGTAGAACAGAGCTGTTGTGCTGTTCTGTGCTGCTCCTCTCAGTCAAACAATCCAGTCAGAAAAAAACAACGTCTCCTGTGCAGTATGACACAATTGTAATGCCATTAGTCATTAAAAAGAAATCCATCCACCCATCCGTTATCTATACACCGCTTAATCCTCACAAGGGTTGTGGGGGTGCTGGAGCTTATCCCAGCTGACTTAGGGGGAAGGCAGGGGACACCCTGGACAGGCCGCCAGTCAAAAAGAAATCTTTAAGTTGAATTTATTTATTTTACAAAAAAAAAAGAATCAACAAATTTTTGCTATGAATACTGGGAAAAAATGTGACTGGGCAAACTATAGCTTGTGCTGTTCATGACTAAGTTACAGTGGGGAAAACAACAACAAAGAAACAGAACATGGATCAATAAGAACAGAACAGTCAAGTACAAGCACCCAGAGCAGGTCTGGTCTTAGGGGGCCTGCAGCCTATCCCATCTGACTTATGGTAACGGCAGGATACATCCTGGACAGGTCAGCAGTCTATCACAGGGCTACACAGAGAGACCGCACACTCACATTAACACTTTTGGACAGCATAGAATCACTAGTTAACTTCAGCATGTTTTTGGATTGTGGGAGGAAGCTGGAGAACCCGGAGAGAACCCACGCTGCACAGGGAGAACATGCAAATGGCCAGGACGTACACGTGTGTGAGTATTTTTATTTTTTTAAACAAAGCACTGTATGCCAAACAGTCACTTTTAGGGATTCACTCCTATCAATTGACACCCTTTAAAACACTTCCTAAAACACATTCCTAACACTTGCATTAACATGATTTTTTCTCTCTTTGTTGCCTGTTAAGCTGTTTATTGCTTATTGCTCACATAGTTTGTGCTTGTCCTCTCTTTCCACTGCGATAGCATTTTCTTGTTTGTCTCTGCGTTTCACTTTTCTCCATCCTTTCCCCTCACCCCAACCGGTCGAGGCAGATGGCCGTCCTCTCTGGGCCTGTTTCAGCTGTAGGTTTCTCCCTGTTAAAATGGAGTACCTTCACCCTCACCGAGACGCTTGCTAATATGGCATCTTTGGATCCATTGAATTTTCAGGGTATAATTTGGTGGTGTACTTAGTAATCTGAATTACTCAGGTAATTTGTTAGAGAACAAAATATTGTGGGAATTTAATCATAAAATTGATTTTGATCTGGTATGTTTGCAAAACTGATAATATTATATGTTCCTAATATGTAAGCCTGGTAAATTTGCATTGTATATGTTAGTACAGAGTCTTAACTTTTATATTGAAACTTGTTGGGTAATTAGTTAAGCCAATGTTATTTCTGGAAAGCACTTTGGCTTAAATGCGGGATATTAATAACAACAGCTTAGTGGTTAGCTAGGGTCTTTTTGTTTTGAGTTTATCTTAATTTTTATGTTGCCTTCTGAGGTATCCTGCTTTTACAGCTATTAAGGATTCCAGTACACAGGTATCATCATTTTATTAATAACAAGGTCGATGCAATATGAGAGTTCAAACAGATGAACACATGATATAAAATGAACTGGATGCTCTGTTAGTTTCAGGAGAGCTCGTGGTGTAAGACCTTTTTTTTCATGTCAGTACCATGCAGTTTATTTGTTACTTACTTGAGGAGGAATCACAAGAAGAACCAACAATCTTATGGCTTAGCATTTGGAGACATCAAGAGAAATAAAAGTGCAAAACAAAACAAGATGTGAAATATGGAAAATTATTTAATAGAGGATTCATTAAAAAAAAAAAAAAAAAAAAAGCAACCAAAGACTTATTTTTAAGTAAGCGATGCCCTTTGATCACATATTACACATACTCACTTGTTTGGACAGTCCTGACCAAGGATTATTTCAGTAAGTCAGTCCGTTCTTCCACTTTGTGCAGGTCAGGACGATGCACGCATGTCATTTCTGCTATTTGCAATTTTTTTTCCAGCCATTGGATTGACATTTGTGCTGCACATAATGTAAAAGTGCACAAATACAACTAGTGTACTTCAACTTTATCAAAAAACAGGGTAGTAATTAACAAAAAATACATGGATCATATGTAAAGGGATTTTTGAAAGTGTCTTTGCAAATTACTCTGCTGTTTGTGTTTTCTCGGTGCTGCAGTGGATGGATGGACATAAAGCTGGAGAAAGACGGAGGTTTTTTCAGTACTTCAACAAGTGAAACCCATTTTTTGCTGTTATTGCTCAATCTTGGGGACAGATTTTTGTTTATTTATTTTTTTTTTTTACTGTGTGAAACTGTGAATAAACAGTTAAAACAGTTTTAAAATGACCTAATGTATTGAGAAAATAACCAAATCTCAGTGTTTAAATCCAGAAATCAATAATCAGTGGGTTGACTGTAGGTCCCTGCCATCCAGTACTGAAGTACTTTGGTCATGTTGTTGTTTAGAAGAAAACATCAAATTAAAAACCAATGCATTTACCATTTTTATTTTACCATTTTGAGGAAAACATGGCTGTACATGAACAATACTCAGTTATTCAGATACCTTTGAACAGATAAGGGAGGCATACAGCTGACATGTTCGGGGGGAGGCGGAGGAAAGATCTCTCTTAGCTTTGCATCTCGTTTGGGCAGAGCTCGGCAGTTTGAGCCCTCAACCTCACAGTCACACAAACCTGGGACTTGTGCTGCAGCCGATCCTCTACCCAAGAACACGGTCAAAGCCTACACAGGCACATAAAAATCTATTTCTTCCATAGCGCAGCACCTTGGCTTTTGCTAAAATAGACTTTCTCAAAAAAAATGTTGCAGTGGTATAATCAATCAATCAATCAATCAATCAATGAGAAACAATAAAACACTGAAATTAAAATAAAAAGTAAAATTCAAGTAGACATGACAGAAATCAACTGTGAAGGATAATTTGCTATTTTCCTAGGAAAGCTTTGATATGTACAGTACAGAGCTGTAGTGATTTCTGTAGCAGCCTACCTGATGGGAAATCATTGTGTGGCTGGAAGGAGTGAGGCAATGCTTGCTTGCTTGCAAATAAGGTTGGCACTTCTACTGCAAGGTTAAATAGTGTATGCTCTCTAACACATACAGCCTACAGCAAATTTAAGTTTCTGGAGTGATGGCTTTGCTTCATAAATAAAATGCTGCTACAATAATCATTCTCAATCATCATAAAAATGCATTAAAGTCAGAATGCAGTGAAAGCAAAACATTTGCTTGCTGCACACAGGGATTTGGGGGTGCAGATGGACTGTGAACCTTTTTGAAAGTTGTATCTTGCCATTAGTTTGATAATGCAACATTGCGTCCCTTTTCATGCAAAATGCATTTTATTTGTTTTGCAAGTGGTGGTTGCGACTAGCGGCGAGCTGCAGCACTTGTAGAGTAGGAGCCTTTCTAGTCTTCAGAGAGTCCTGACGTAATATGTGGAGTTCTGGATGTTGGATTCTGGGAGGTTGAACGGAAAACAGCCGCCATCTGTGTTATTCCTGGAAAAGCAGAGGAATCAGAAGTCAGTGCATCCTACACGTTTAATTACTTCTGAAGCTTTACTGCCGCAGTACACCCTGCCAAAAATGAGTCTGATTAAAGGTTATGCGGTTTTACCCACATAAACAGATACAAAGAGGAACTGTTGAGCCACAAAACTGCGAACTCAGAACATAGATACACACAAGCTACTTGGGCAACAAGTAATCTGCAATGATGTAATAAATGAATTCCAACCATATTCTAATTCCTGTCGTCCAACTACTGCAAGGTGCTTTTAGCACCATAAGGCAGAACAGTGCTTTGTAAGTGCAGACCATTTAGCATTAAACTCTACTGTTACTGCTACAAGTCCATCAGAATTAAAAGACAACTCTTCATCACTACATCATGCTTTATTCAGCAAAGAATTTCAGCTCTCTGTCCTTCAAAGAGAGGAGGAGATTTGGAGAAATTGCTGCATTAGAGAGTGGCACTCTGGATTTCTAAATTGGGCACTTTGGGTAACATGAGGAATTAAGCTCAAAGCAACTTTTGTAGAACCTACCAGACAATAAATAATAGATGAAATGGAAATGAACCCTCTGAACTCCAGCAGTTTCTGAGTTTTTCTTTTTTTGCTCCTGTCTCATTTTTACTCACTGTGGGCTCATCTTTAACTGCAATTATAAAGTCCTGGACCTATGGACACAGCACAACCATGACTAGAAGGAGAGTGAACTCAGAAATGTCTCCTGTGTAGTATGACACAGTTAGAGTGCCCTCAGTCATAGAAATTAAACAGAAATATTGAAGCTAAGTTTAGTTATTTTACAAAAGTGAAAAAAAAAGAGAGAAAAAGCAATCAATATGTTGGACACTTTCCACGTACCCACATGTGAATACTGGGGGGAAAAAGTGCATGGACAAACTTCAGCTATTTTACTACTTGCATTTTCATCTAGTTACATTTCATCTTTATATTTATCTGAGGCAGATGGCCGTCCCTCCCTGAGCCTGGTTCTGTCTGAGGTTTTTTTTTCCCCTGCGGGGGTTTTCGGTTCCTTCCCACTGTTGAGGACTGCTTGCGGACTGCTGAAGCTTATAGGGAATCCAAATGTTTTGGACTGTTGGGTGTTTCTGTTTCTGCCTTTGTTAAGCGCTATGAGATGACTTGTTGTTGTAAATATGTGCTATACAAATAAAATTGAAGTGAACTGAATTTGTGTAAACACGGCCTGCAGTTCAGCCCAATTCACCTAAAAAAGTCCCAGAACTGTCATGTGACTGCTAGCTGCAGCTCATGACTCAATGCAGAAATCATTGTTTTATTTTGTATATTATCTGGTTAAACTAAGTGTTTTATTTAAAGTGAATTTTTAAATGAGATACAGAATAGTTATTTTGATGAAATATCACAATTTTAAGCATATAGTTTTCTTTACACTGAGCTGTGACAATGTTTCAAATGACGTATTAAACAAAAGGCAATCAAAGATTTCAGTCTGTTTGACTTGGTGACACTTGTAGACACTGGTGGCAACACAGCATAAATCTGTGAAAAGCAGTTGGAGGCGTGCAGCCTTCATCTAATTCTCTGGCTGTTCCTTCCACTATCTCCTGCAGTATTTCAAACTGATCTGCGGTAGAAAAATGCCCACATGACTGTTGTCTTGTTTTGTTTACACATTTTTGGTGAATGAGTAAGTGCCAAGCTTGTTGACAAACACTGTGAACAACTTGTCAGCTCATATTTTGTGAGTGAAATGCTTCTGATGTTAAACGGCAGCAGTAGGACGTGTTTGGTTCGCATTAGCAGCAACTAAATACTAGAAATGCAAAAGTAACCAATGTCCTCCATTGTTCGTCAGCCATGGTAACAATCAATCATCAATTCAGCAATGACATTAAGGAATTACTGTGGACATTTTTCCATATGCTGATAAAAAAAAAGAAAAGCTTCTCAAAAAACTGCACAGTTACATATAAATTTGAAAAGCAACTTTACAGCTGGTTACTGAAATATAACTTAAATAGAAAAAATGTATGACTTTATTTTGCTGTTCAACAATTGATGGGGAAAAAAATGGAGTCTTCCACATTAAATAATGTGTCAAGTTATTCATCTCTTCACAGTCGTTTATTATTAAAATAATCCTCATAGCTGATCTACATGATGGAGTGACTTGTTCACTGGAGGTAATGTTAGTCTAGCTGCTAAAAACAGCCGCTCACCTTGAACAGATGTCCATAAATACTGTCACAGCAAATTTATCAGTCCAGCAGATCAGTCAGTATTTACTGCCCCCTTCAAAATGTATTTATACTCAGAGCAGAGCGTCGCAGAAACACTTCATCACTTTAGTATGCCTGTCGTTAAAAAGTGTGTTATTAGAGTCCGCTGCTCCTGAACATTAGCAGTGGTATCAGGTACAGCTGTCCTCTGCTGACAGACGCTCAGTTCCCAGCCTGTGATGGTATTTGAAAATCCTAGTTTACTATCAGTATGAGCCTCAGGTAGTCATCTAAACCAGACAGGTACCAGACACCTTTTTACAGTTTGATGCAGCAGAGTTCATCAGTAGGACTTCCACAGTTAGCAGTTGGACAGCAGGGAGGTGCGCTTGTTTTATGGACCGTTACAGTCAGTCAGCAAACACACGTGTAACTCCATCTCATTAAAGGGGCTCTGCCCGGTGTGAAGCCAGTTATTACAGCAACACATTTCTGACAGCATGACTCTGGTATTCTGCTTTATCAGTTCATATATTTGTAATCGGTTACATTCTTACTGGCAATTAATCGATTAACAATCAATTGTTAACATTCCTGCCTAATGCACACTTTTGACAATGCTGCCACAGACATCCAGTTTGTAACACTATATAAATATTGCAGTACTTTCATAAGTGGATGATAGGCCCAGTCACACCTTTGAGTTACCACATTTGTCAACAGTGACTTAACAGGCGATAATTTAAATAACCTTTTAGACGTTGCTACATTGAACTTTTTCCCAACTGACAAACTCGGATTAAAAGATGTATTTGCTGCAAGAAATTTTCTGAAAAGACAATTATGACAGCATTCTTTCTATTTATGGCCACTCATAAACAACTTAGGTGGATAAGGTGTAAATAAAACCAAGGATACCTTGATATTGTATAAAGTGTTTTGAAGAGAAGGATGGTGATATTGTGACCTATTGGTCTGAAAACAGATCATTAAATTGCATGTAACAAATCCCAAACCCATTTTAAGCACCTCCATGGTGATGCCACAACAGAATATGAATAAAGCGTGGCACACTGGAGATGACTTGTGCAGCATGTCCCAATTTTGGGAGTTCAGCACTGATGCTCACTGTGGTCTGCACCTTGCTGTATGTGTGTTATCAGAGGAAAACATAGTCAATTGTATTTTTAGCACCATGGACACTGCCAAAATTTTCTGACTCGATAGACCTCACCACTGTGTGTGTATCTATGTTGGAAAAAAGACAAGCATCCAAAAGACCACAGAGAAAACATTTAGTGTTAATAGTGCTATTCAAAGCCAGTCGTTCTGACACATAAACATTAGACAGCACACACACAGACTGAGGGTAAGGCCGCAGAAACAAAGCCAAACATTCCCATGTAGTGAGTCACATAAGAACACACATGCACGCTCACTCATCCCAAACCCTGCGCCTTGGGATTGTTTTAGTCAGAAGCTAATGAAATAACAAGCCTCAGAGCTAAAAGGTGAGTTAGAGTAAACTAGACAGTGAGCAGTTTCGAGAGACAAAAATCGCTCAGGAGAAGAAAGTTGTGAAAACATGCTGTGGGAGAGTGGAATGAAGAGTTCTCTTATGCTGCGTAACACCTGACAGAATCCTCACAATACTGACAGTGGACAAGTTGAAACACAAATGGCTGCATTTGTGAAGTTTGTAGAAACACTGCCACAAGGAGCCCCCTCCCCCTCCCCACAGAAAAGAAAGTGCAACTGAAAGGAGCAGTATGTCACAAACTGTTGTTAACACAGGTGTCCTAGAAACAGTTTTAACATGTCAGGGATAAACCCCAGAGCCAAAAATGCGTATGGAAAGTGGATGATTGTGCTGCATTGATGGCACTTTTGCTAAGCGTTTTAGAGAATACTCAATGCGGCTTAGTTTAAACTTTTTGGATTGTTAAATAAGTTTTTAAACGTTTATAGCACTCTATTGTACTAAAATTCTATATATTCTATATATGTATTCTATCTATCTATCTATCTATCTATCTATCTATCTATCTATCTATCTATCTATCTATCTATTTCAGGTAACATTTATATTTTTCTCGTAAGAGCAGAGTCGAAATAGACCAAAGCATGTCTGTGTACACTTAAGATCAGATTTCAGTCCATACGGGGGCGTTTGCAGTCACAGGCTGAGAGCTCTGAGGAGCAGAAGCCGGTTTAGCCGGTATTTAATCGCTCATCGCTGCCAGTGCCCTTTGTGAGGCTACAAATATGGACACAACAATATATGGAAAATGCTTTTACAGGATGTTTCACAACATGAAGGCTACATTTCTAACATTTTTTTTTTTAAAAATGTGTAACTTTGTGAACATTTAGAGAAAAAAAAAGTGATTTCTTAAAATGCCAGACTGTTCATATTAGAGGCAGTGATGACTGTATTTTATACACAGAAAACACTGCAGCCCTTCAAATAAGAGACTGTATTTCTTTCCAGCAGGGGGAAGTGTTGCACCCACATTATATGGAATTGCATGGGACTGCCAGCAACATGACTCTGAAGGCCTTTAAGCCTTGTCATTATGAGCTGAGACTATAATATCCGGTTTGTGTGCACACACGCACCAGCAGTCCTTTTCCCTGCTGGGGGAGTGGAGCTGGAATGACAACAGCATGATGCATTAGCTGTGAGTGCTACAGAAGCAGCGCTATCTGTACCAGTGAGAAGAAGTGCTGATGGGAAAGCAGCATGCCTGAGAATGGAGACCAGTTGGAAAAAGCCCAGTCTGACCAAATTAAAACCAGACCAGACTGAACTGGACAAGGCCGGGACCAGGACTAGGGTCTCATTGTCTTACCTGGGTCAGTCCTCCCCCTCCTCTGGCGTGATCTCTGTCTCTTTATGTACCACTACTTTGGTCACTGACATGTCAGGATGCTGTTCTTTAGCCTCCTTTATGGCCTGAGCCAGAGCCTACATACAGGAGTGCAGTGCCAGGAGGGATCACCAGGGGGAGACAGAGAATGGGGAAGGACAAGGAGGGGGCGGGGATGTTGGATTGTAAGTCAGTATACCAACAAGGAAGTTACATTTGTCATACTTCCAGTATTTTTCAAGCCACACCAAGAGTTAATATTGTTTTGTTTAAAATGTAGCCACTCTCAAAGTGCATGTTAAGGCCCAGGGGGTCACAAAGGTCACTGTTAAGCACTCTACTTTTCGTTTTGCTGTTCAAATCAAAGTCTTGGTTTTATAGGCAAAGAAAAAATAAACTAGATAGTAGAGAATAAAAAAAAAGAAACTATATGAAAAGATCAAATCTCTAAAAGACCTCATCATGGTCGATGTCCGCATCTCCGGTGATAACGATCCTCTTCTCGATTCTTGTCTCGGATATTCCTCCTTTCACCGTCTGACCAACAGCAAACAATCAATAATGGCCCATTACAAATCTTTAGGAAGGAAATACTTACATATACGTATAAATGTTAGTCAGAGAGGGGATTGACATTTGCAGGAAAGGTATCATTAAGTTTGTGTTTCCATCTCTTAAGGCTAGAAGTGTGTAATGAGACATAAAATGCCTCTAAAATACAAAAATACCACTTCCCCATTTTCATCTACAAAAATATGTTTTAAACAGTAAATTTCAAGTTTAACATGTCAAGATGGCATTTTTTTTTAATATTCTGGAAGACATATTATGAGTAAAATAATTGGTCATTGCCAAGATTGAGCATTTCCTCCTTAAAACTACAGTGCACCGATGACTCGAAAACACCCGGGAACCACACTTCTGGGGTTTGAATCCATAAATGTAGAGGGACTTTAAAATGTGACGGTAGGCAGAAAGACATGCATAAGCTAAAGAAATGTTTGACAGGTCAAAGAGACAACAGATCGCCCTGACCTTTGTGATGTGTGTGGTTGTTGTGGTGCTGGTGGTTTCCGAGGTGATGGTCTGAGCACTCAGCAACACCCCAGGGTCTGCGTCACCATTAGTGTCAACCTGTTCACAAGCAAAATGCCTTATATTTGTGCTCTGGATCAAGTCAGTACAACAAAATTATTCAATTCTTTTTCGAATATTACTCAGCACAACTAAGTAGTAGCTTTAAAGCTCAGTAACTTAATACACTGTCGGTTTATCAAATGGGTAGTGAAACTTGAAAGTGACAATAACTCCCAATCCCACAGTTCCCTTTAGCTTTACGAAGCTTTACATTATCTTTCATCTCACTGTTTACGCCTTCCAGCAACTTCACAGTTTTGATTCACTGTCACTCGTCTCAGCAGCGTTGTTTTCTGTCACAGCACACAGCTGCTTCTTTTACTTTTTCTGACAAATGTTCTCCACTATTTCCTCCGTACTTTAGCAAAAACAGACACAGCTAGCGACTCGCTGGTAAGACAGTCGAGGATTTCGTTTGTAGTGAGCCAGATATTTCTCTTTTCAGGTAGTGGAGAGCAAATTAGTGCTAAAAGAAAAGTGAATATTGGACGTAGGTTGATTAAGTGGACACAAATACAACTCTATAAATAAATTATAATATTGCTTTATAAAATATTAAAGTATTTATTGCCAACATGATGGCTCTATCACCTCCTCTAGTCATGGTTACAGCTTGTTTTCTGCTCATTATTGCAAGTTTACCTTTTATGGATAAATTACACATCATTCTTTAATCACTTCTGTTTCAAATCTTACACAATTTAAACAAATATAAAATGGAGATAATATCACATTGTGTACAAATGTACCTCTGCAGCCTCATAGGTGATAGTCTTTGTCTCTGTGTGGATCACAGGCGTGTCTTTGGTTGCCATCTCCACATTGTCCGGACTCTGGTGCACAAAAAGACCAAACAGTCAGACCAAATCAATGTCTTCAGAGGGAAACCAGCATCAGCAAAAGCATCCATGCTCCAGCTCATTTAGATCTCCTGTGTGAAACAAACTGCTGCAGATGTTGGTTGTTAACTGTACCTTCTACATGAAATCAAATTGACAAAGAAGGTACCACATGCTAAAAAACTAAGCCAAAGACAGCCATTGAGGGGTTTAAATGTCTAAACAAACATGCAGTCATGTACTGCAGTCCTTAGTCGTGCAATTTCATTATACATTGCACAATGACAGTAAAACGTGTTCTGATTCTGAAGGAGAGAATACCGAAGGCAAATCACACGGTTTTGATCAAGTGCGTGCACCACATCAAGTTGAAGGTCTCTTGATCTGCCCAGCAGCACACTGTGAAGTTAGGAGGTTGACACGCATATCTGTGCTTTTTTGTTGAGTTTTGTCATTGATTACTAGTGGCAGATTATGTTGGCAAAACGGATGGTGGTAGTAAGATTACAGGGCCGAGGCTGAGGCCACTGAAGCTGATGAAGGGTTACCTCCAGCTGAGGTAAGGGTGGAGGTGAATGGGTGTGTGGGGTATCTGACATAAGGGGTTCAGTCTGAGTCACTTTGTGTGGGCTGGACTTTCAGTCTTGTGCTCGATATCCTCTTTTTTTTAAATATTTCAGCTCCTGGTATCTCTTCTCACACTTCTAACCCCTTTCTGTCAACATCTCAGGAAAGTTCTTTGGTTCTTCATCCTCGGTACACTCAGAGCATTCCTTTGCCTCCTTATTCACCTCCTCAATTCTGTCTTCCAACTCTGTGAGTAACTCTTCTCTCTTGAAAAAATGCACCTCATCTGACAACTGGAATCTTTTGCCATTTACTTCTGTCTCCTTTCTGCCCCCTGCATGTTTCCAACCTGCCAATTCATTCACCAAAGCAGCTCTCAGTTGCTTCATTGTGCTCCTAGTTTGTTCAAAGAAACTTTATTTTTTTTTTTTGTTACAACCTCTGATGTAAGCAGGAGTTACTGTCTTCTCTTGGTATAGATGCCTCCCCCTCCACACTTGCCTCATCTTCTTTCCTATCTATGACTTCCTCAGATTCCTTTTATGCTTCTAAGTTCACTGCACACTCTGGTAAAGCCCTCTAATCTAACCCCAAATTTGATGCTACTGGTTGCATTTCTGCTTGTAAGTGCACAAGATACACACTGCTGAACTTGTTATCAGGATGGTCCAGGAGTAACAGTTTTTGAGCTGGTGAAGTATTACCACTAATTTCTGACCGTGAGTCTGTTACACAATCTAGTTCCTGCTTTGCTGGCTCTGCAGATTGTGCAGCGCACCGGTTCGGTCTGTGCAGCCTCTGTGGTCTGGATACTCACCGTTGGCGTTGTCAATTTGGCTGATTCTGCTTCTGTTTCCAAGGCAACCACTTCCTTCTCCTGCTGATCAGCGGAGGCCTGTGAATGATGAATTACACAATTAGACAATGTTTTGCATCATTATTTAAAACTAAATCGAAACAGTACAGGGCAGTTTCACATCACACCTGATAGAGAAAAACAGATATGTTGGTTAAGTATTTTTTTAGATTTTTACTCCATACAACCTAACAGAATTGCAAAAAATAAGAAAAATATAAGATATAGACAATTTTTAAGGACCAGAGAGCAGTGGTCACCTTTTGAGATGAGGAAACCCATCCCAGCGTAGACTGATGAGACACAAGGATAAACAGACACAAGAACAGAGAGAAAGGTAAAGCGATAGTCAAAAGTCACAGTGAGCACTAAACAAGAGGGAGACAGTGCGGAAAATGAAAGGTATGAAACGTAAATAATGTATGCATTGTATGGAATACCATTCTGCAGCTTGTTAAATGTGTGAGCTTAAGTAAAAAGTTAAAGAAATCCTAAAAGCTCAAACTGATAATCCACTTTTAGAATTGCTGAACCCATCAGGAGCAAATTTTACTTTTAAAAACTGCCCCTTAAGAATGGTGAAATATCTCTTTAGGTAGATCCATACAATTTTTTTTCTGAACTTGTTTGTGAGACTGAGGGGGTTTTGGAGAATGAGGCGGGAAAAGCTGCAACGGTGGCACCGAGCCAGGGCTATGAAGTCACCGCTTTCAGGGAACTGATAACAGAGCTGAAAGAAAGGAATGGTGTAGCTGAGCAAAATGACAGAAACAAACCATAGCCAGCCACAGTCCCTGTTTCGTTCCTTATTAGCTGTGGAGGTCAGCTGCTAAGGTAAGGCAAGCTGTTTTAGTTGTCAATCAATTCAGACACAAACCCAAAACAGTTGTAGCAAAAAAACAAGCAGCAAGTTTGAATGCAACAGAAATTGCGGTTTGGCAAGTGTGAGCATAAACGCTGGGTGTTAGGGGACCATTAGCCATGCACAGGGCTTGATTACACTTGTTAGACTGGTTTGGCTGCTGCTGGAGGGAATGGGAGTAGGTGGCAGGTGGTGGAGGAGATATGAAGGAGGCAGCAATAACTGAATTGTTGCTTTTAGTTTTCATACAGTACCACAGCTAAAGATGTAGTTGAAGATTCTGAAACTGTAATCTGAGTCAGGTTGGACTTTGACTGCTCAGACTGGACTCCTTCAAAGGTGAAGATTTCTGCTTCCTGCTTCAGCCCATCAGATGTTTTCATCGCCTTTACGTCCTTTGCTGAGACACTGATGACCTCTGAGGCCTCTGTCTTCGCCTCCTCAGAAATCCATGATGCCATGGCCTTTTTTGGCGAATCAGTACCTTTAATCTGAATTATGTCATTAGTTTTTATCTCCACCTTTGGACTTGGCATCTTGACTTCTGTAGTCTGGGCTTCTGTAACAACAGAAGTCTCTGCTATTAACACTTCTTTCTCTTCAGATGCAGCAAGCAAGTCATTCTTGTCAGCTTCATACTCTCCAGGGACAACAGATTGCTCCTTCTCATCCAAAGTACTCGTCTCCTTGCCCTCAGCGTCCGCTTTGTCCTCCGCATCCTTCAAGATAATGAGCGTCCCTTTCTTATCACTGATGGCCTGGGACACTTCCTGTCTCACAGCTCCGGGGCTGATTTTTACTACTGACTTCTCTGACACCTCGTCCTGGGAGTCAGGTGTTTTCTCTTCCACCTCCCTCAGGGTCCCATCCATGAAGACGTCATCGTCCATAGTGGTTGACAAACTAATCCCATGAGGCCCAGAGGAGGTGGCCCCATCTGTTATGATACTATCCACCACGTATTTCACCAGATATCCTGCTGCCTGGGGAGACACTTTGCTTATTGAAGATGGATCGTTTAAGTTAATAGACAGAGGACATTGCACAGCCAATTAACAGCAGAATTAAGCTCAAGAGACTATTCAGGAAGAAATGACACGTACATAGGCTGAGCTCCACAAGTACCTGAATTGAGGCGCACTGTTTGGATGTAGCTTAGTCTGTTATTAGTTTCTCTGCATAAATATGTATTATCACTGACAAAACTATGAATTTAAAAAGTATGACACATAATTTTAGATCAGCACTTGATATCATAACGCTGATTCTGAAAATACTAGAATTATAATCAATTATAAATAAATAGAACAAAAAGATATTACAGTGGTAAGCAGTAAGAGCAAGACACTGCCCAAGTGTCCACAAACCTCTGGAGCCACAAAGATGTGAAAGGCAAAAAAAACACTTCTTCCTTTTTAAGTGTGACTAATTGGAAGCAGCTTACCTCAGTGACTTTAACATCCACTTCTTTTGCCTCATCTCCAGTTGGTTGCTCATCGTTAGTCTGCAGAGAAAAAAAAAAGGTCACATTCAGGTATCATCCAGATAGACAATAAATGACGTGTCCAGTGCAAATCACAACATTCAAACGTCATCAAGAGTTCTGAGTTCTGGATTCTAAAACTCTTGAGAGGCAGTTTCTTGTCATTTTAGTGAGACACATTTGATGTCAAGGATTTGCTTTCAGAAACTTTAATTAGTCCAGTGTAACTAAATCAGACTATGCTACACATGACAAGTTCACAGTGTGATCAAAAAGTTTCATGATTGTTCCTTTAAAAATCAAAAGTTGCTAATATTTGGACACTATTCTTGTCAAAGTTTGCAACGCTTGTAGCTCTTCCTGGAAGACCAGTTCAACATATCAAGCATCCTCTGTAATGGTCACGAATCTCCCTAACCGTGTCAAACAACCCTTAAAGTTGAATTTCATTTCAGGGAAAAGGATGAAGGTACAGCAGCCAAATCTTACAAGCAGGGTGGGTGGTGAGCCACGACTGTGTTGTTGTGGCCAAAACAAATCTGTGCATAATCACAACACTTTGTCCATGTCCACAGCACACTGGGGCACCCACAGTTCAAGCTGTTAGCGTCGGATGTTCTTCCTCAGATGCCTTAGGATGTTACAGTACACCTCTGCATTAACAGTCAGGCAGTCTCCTGCCTCGAGACAGTTATTGCTTGCACATGTGCTTTTTACACATGCACTACAAACAGTCTCACAAGTTTTAGAACACACCCCTTTCAATACAGAAACTCTGACAAAACTGCACGTTATGTCACAGAACAACAATCACATTAATGATCAATGACTTTACCATTCCTTACCAAAACAAATTCGCATAATAATCAGGTGATGATGAGATATAGTAAAGACAAAAAAAATCAAATGGCAAAGAGAAACACATTGGATAAAACATGCATTAAACTGTATTCACGCACTAACTCAGAATGGCTTTATACACCAGATTCCTCTATTAAGGGGCCCGTCTTTCTGACAGGCACTAAAGCCATTTGAAGTATAAAATGTCTTGCACCGTACTCATGTTGATGTAGAAAATATTGCTCTTGCCCCATTATGAATATTGAATTGGCTCCTTTATGACTTATTGTGCAATAAATCCTGCAACTGATGCCTTTGTTTATGTAAAAATGTCCTTGGTGATGTCATGCTTCACAAACACATGCCATCATTAAGTCTGCTGTGGACTGCAGCTTACATCCTGTGGTTCCAGTGGCTCTATCATTGGTGCTTCATGCGCTTTGGGTGAGCGAACAGGGGATGAGGAGAGTCTCTTCTCCCACTCGGTCAGACCTGACATGCTTCCGCCAGTCTCCAGGAAGGAGCGCTTCAGCTCGCTGATGTTGGTCTGGTGCTTGACAACCTCTGCTGGAGTATCGGTATCCTACAGTAGCCAATCAACGATGATACAGGGAGATGAACGCAGGAGCAGTGTGGAGGGAAGAACGGCCATGCTTCATGCAACGGTAGATGCATATCCAATGAATTACCAAGATACATGTTGGGCAGCATAAACAGCTCTGAAAAGGTCTGGAACCAAAACGTCCTAAATCAGATGCATTATGTGCGTCCTCAGTTTTCATGTTTACGGTTCACAGGCCTGTGTAGGAGTCTGTGTTATCTTGTGCAGTTATCTTGCAAAAACCGCAAAATAACTGCAAAATGTCCACCCAAACGGCAATTGTGAACGAAGACAGTAACAGCTTGTACTTAAATGCTAAAGAAGCATTTAAGACCAGCTTGAACCAATCAAAACAAATGGGTTCATGCATAGATTTATGTATTTAGTTTCATAGGTTTAGTTAAGCACAGCACTCCCAAATCCCATTAGAAGTCAACAGTAACTTCTACCAGTTTAATTTCAGTTATATTTGTCATAAATTAATTAAATTAATTAAGATGCTCACAGCAAGAACTTTTTCACACAGGAAATCTAGAAAACAGTATCTAATACTGGCAGTTACATGTGTAATCAATCCTATTCTAAGTTAAGTTTCATCATACCAAAAGCTGCATGCGTATTTCAGTAGTGCGTTGTTTTCTTACCAACCTCTAGCATCAGATTACTATGCCTGATAAAAACGTTTTCCCCTTTAACTCGTCTTATGAAACTATACTGTGAAGACAAAAAAGGGGAGAGGAATTGTAAATAACGAATTAGGCACTATGCCATGTTATGTTCCAACTGTTTGGAGAAAGTGGGAGCTTTGTCTTCGACAATAGGGCTGAAAAAGACAAATGGTGTGATGACAAAAACCACTTCACAAAAAAATCCCGGTAAAAGTCATGATATGTAAAAAAAAATAAAATAAAAGGTGAAAACTAAAATCTGACGGGTGCAGCAGCAGGAAATGAAATCCGAACATGACTGTATGATTTACAAACGCAAGCACCTGAGAAATTAGTTATAATGGAGAAGAAGCAGTGACTGCTTTGCAGCAGCAGTCTGTGGCGTGTATTCAGCAAAGAGTCTGGTGTGGGGCGTGAGAATGTCAACAGCGGCAGCAGAAGCAGGCAAGCCAAGGCTGGGGGACAGCACAAAGTGACTGATGGCTCATTTCTGAGTGGTTCAGTGCATCTGATGGTGGTGTGATGCACTGAGCAGGGCCATGAATCGAGCCCAGTGTACCTGAGTCTGCATTTCAGAGTCCTCATCGGCTTCCGACTGACGACAAGTAAGGAGAAGAGCAAGAGACAGTGAGACAAGGCAATAAAGAGGTATTAATCAGAAGAGATGCAGATGGAAAACCAGGTGAGGGGAAAGAGAAAGTGAGCCCCAGGGAGCAACAAGCAGAGAGATAAGAGAGGGAAAATAAGGTGGCTGACCAATAAAAATAACTGACCACTTCCTAATCCCCTCTCCTGAACAGCTTTGTCCAATCATAGCCTTAACAACTGAACTGCAGCTCTGTCCAGCTTTAAATTTGTCCTTGCTTTAGTAGCATGCATAAGGCTGGACTAAGAGTGACAACTGCACATCTAAGTGTTTATAGGCTGGCTGGTTTTTCTGTTCCTTTTCCAAAAGCAAAAGTGGAAGCAGGTTAAACATTGTGATTGTCTGCTCAGGATACACTGCAACAGTTAATGTGTTGAGTTATTTAGCTTATGACCTACAGTAGTAAACAAGAAATTTCTAATCTGAGAGCATACCAATAACTAATTACATGGCGGTAATGTACCAATTGGCAAATTGAACGACATTAGTTTGTAGGTTTATGAGTTACTTTAAAAAGCCCTGTTCATGAATGTTGCATTTTTTCATTTTAATTGTATTTATTTTATTGTCTTTTATTTATACCTCTATTGCTTGATTCCATGTGTATTTTTGTTTTTATGTTTGTGAAATCAACTGTAGTCTTTGTAAGTGCTTTAGTAGAAGACAACTGGACTTCTCTTTTGGGTTCTCAAAGACATTTCACCTCTCACAGAGAGCTCCTCAGTGACTTTGGAGAGTTCCTCATATGATCCCAAAATGTCTAAAGGCCTGTTAACAACCCGAGACTCACACGACTCAAGGTGTTAATGGTGGTAAAACTGTCTCAGGAGGGCTCTCAGGACTGTGGATGGTGTTACATACCCCCTCCTCTGTTAAGAGATGGCTGTTCCAGTTTAACATAAATGGCTTCCTTCACTTCTCTCTTAATCAATCTATAGTCTCTGTCCAGAATGCAAACATTGCTCCCCTCAAAGAAGTGTCTTCTTTTGCTTTGGATGCAGGTTAAGGAAGCAAACTTATTACACAGGCTCAACATACCTCCTTAGAGAGTGTTGCCACTATTAACACTTCAAGTTATGTGAGTCTTGAATGTTTAACAAGCCATAGGCCATGTGAGTTGGGGTAAGCCGCCACATTAGCTAGATACACACAAGCAGTGGTACTATGAGTTGTGTGATGTGATTTAGGGAAGGAGTTTCCACATTTCAGCACCAATATTCATCTGAAAACACCACAGAGATGCTTAACACACAGTTTATGTACCAAAATCATAACACCTTTTTCATGCACTTTGCTCTACGATTTCAAATCTATGAGGCAACAAAATGAAATGTCAATTAGAAAACTGCACTGTTATGAAAACAGACAGTAAAAGCTTAAAGAATACTGATACTCAACAGTAATGAAGGTAATTACCCCCCCAACTATTGGGTCTGAGTAAGTTTACTACCTGCAGCATCAGACAGCAGCAGGATCCATATGTGTGTCTCCACACAGAGAGAGAGACGTGCACATTTGCACACTGAACAATGGCACCGGTAAATAATTAAATTGTTCTAATTACAAATTATCTCCAAGAGAGCATGGAGAGCAGATAAATCTGAATCCAATGGCAGATCACAAGATTACCCTGTGTTCGTCTACATCGCTTCACATCGTACAGATGGCTGTCACACACACACAGGGGTAGTTTAGTTTCCAGCTGTTTAGGACAATTTCTTGGTACTTTATTACAAACCTGCAGCATCAGACAAAGGTCGGATCAACTCCAGTCTCCAAGTGTCTCCAAAGTAAAAGCTGCGCGTATTTACGCATGGAGCAACAGTAACAACTTCATTAAATAAGTTGAACTGTATATTATCCAAACATCAAAAAATGGCAGATCAGAATCTAACAGCAGGTCACACTGTCAACTTTTGTTCACCTCAGACTGATAAACTGTCACACTTTATTAGCTGCTGTGTAATATTTTGTCACATCGCTGCTGTCGTCAGGTTGAGTCCTAATCTTTAAGTTTCACTGTTTAACAATCAAAGATAAACTGGGCTGTCAGTTATTTGAACACTTTGATCAGTTGCTAATAATCTAGTTTTAGTCCATTGTTCGATTATTATGTTTTATACAACACTTGGTGTATTGACTAGTCTCAGGTGAATGCCAGATATTTTGTGCATACCGCGGCGCTATCCGGCACTATGAGTGCAATCTCTGCATAAGGCTGTGAGGAACATAAACAGATAGATGACCTTTGTCTGAAGGGGGCTGAATGACAGAATGCCGTCGCTTTAACAGATTGATAAACCTAGCAATGTTCCTTGTCGCATGTTTGAAAGAGGCTATAGTTATTTGCCACTGTGGGACAGTTTTGCAGCACTGTCCATGCCTTTACTGTCTTAATCTGGACAAGCCTCCAAACAGCCACCTGTAGCCAAGACTCCTAAAACCGTTTACCCAAACCTTTTAAAGTAAAAACAAACACTGAAATTACCCCTAAGCGGCTCGACAGTTTCATGGTTAATACATAGGACTTGTAATACAGTTTGACTGTCCATGCAGCTTTAGCTTTTAGTACATTGTCATGCATGTAGCCATAGAGTGCCTGTTAAACAAACAACAAAACAGTAATCTACAGATATCATCTTAGACCAGCACATGAAGCCAGTATTAAGGTACTTATAACTGCCAGAATCTGCTGGTGCCGTTTGTATTTTAAGATGGTAAAATCAAGGGTTTGTTAGAATGCTTTAATGTTAGAGGCTAGAAATGAGATATCTGATTTTGTTGATCCCAGTTTGAAAACAAGCACTGATTGGTCGAAAAATGACTAAAATATCTGACAGATGTACTGCCATTGTGTAAGAAACGTGTACATTTAAACTGTGTTTATATTACATTAAAAAAATAAAAATAAAATCCAGTGCATGCACAACATGCATACATCTATGATTCAGCATAATTTCCCTTTTCCTTCTGTGCTTTTTTATGCCCTAAATATGATTTCTTTTCACAATATACAAACCTCTGTGGCTGTCATCTCTCCATCAAAGGCAAAGTCAGTTTGTTCGCTGTCAGTCTGTATTCACACATCACATATCCAAAGTGTTCCAAATGGAAAGCAAGAAAAACGAGAAGAACCCATTTTGTAAATCTTAGAAAATGCATCAGTCATCTACAGACATTCTTCATAGCAACAAATGGAACAAATGGAAATGCACTGGTTGTTGGTTCTTTACGCTGCACAATATCAGGCAACACTACATATAAGATTTGCAAGAGAAAAACAAAAAGATAAAAAGCAAATGAAAAAAACAAGCAAAACAGACTCAGAGGAAGTTGAAACCTTTGGTCGGTCACTTTGATATTTAAGGGTACTATGATGAAATTTGGGTTGGATTTGGAAAGGCTACTTTGTGGTATATTATTGTAAATGAATTCCAGATAGATATGATATTTGCTGTGTTGTCACTACGAACAAACAGCACTTGACGATAAAAACTGATCTTTTGTTGCTGAGCAGTAACCTGACTTTCAGGCCCTCCCCCTCCTCTCCATGCATGTTCACACCAGGGATGATCTGGATGCATTTAGCTGTCAAAGTCTCTCTGCATCATAGCATGTATTACACTACATTGATCATTTGTGACTCCAAAAGGCTGTTGCTTGAGGGAAAAACATTGCATCTTGGCGTTCCACACACTGAGTCTCTTCACTGAAGCACTAAGAGCCCTTTTCAGCAGAAGTTCAATTTAAATGATTCATTTTAATTTGTGCCGCTTTGCTTGATTCAGAACATAATGCAGAGAGACTTGGTGCATAGATAAAAATGGATGTGTTCCCATGCAGCTGATGTTGATGACTTTTTACACTGTAAAGCCCTGAATATAGATGGTAATACTGAGATGGGTTAGGCACAAAGCTGTGTTTTTAATATGGTACTTAGTGAAGGATTAGTGACTAAATGAAGATAGGTGACATCTTTATATACTCACAATTTCTAAAAAAAACACGGTGACATAATAATATATTTGCATGAATTGTTTTACGCTTCAGTAACATTTCATGGTAATTTGTCACTGATGTGGTTAAGAAATATAATTCCTTAAGAAGTTTTCTATTTTGTGTCTAACCCTCTCGTTGAGGTAGAGTGAAAACATGCCAATCAAATATGAAATGGTGAGACTTGCAGGTTCATCTCTGTGTACTTGTGATGCTGATGAGGATGTAGTCTACAGGATGAGAGAGTGACTGGGCAGAGATGAGGTTCTGAAAGTAGGAGACTGACAGACACTGGGACACACACAGTCTCCAGGTCAGCTCTGAACTGGTAAAACAGTAGAGCGAGATACAGAACAGGATAACGGGTTAACCGATAATGGACTGTCATTCTAAGCCAGAGGTGGGTACTGGAACATACAGACATATGCACACACACCTCTTCTTCCTCTGAACTGTCATGGTCATGGTAGCCCTGGGCTATGGAAGCGGTCAGGGAGGCTGCCTTGGGCTCCAGGTAGCAGAGGCACAGCGCCAGTGGGAAGGAGAGGGTGAGGGCATAGGGGACAGAAAAGGAGGTGGAGAGCAGAAAGAAGAAGATGAAGAGGAAGCAGGGGATGAGTGAAGGCGACTTAATTGGAAGGAAGTTCTGTGCGCACTCAGGAAGGAAACGCATCTCTGACAGATCGGGAAATGTGATGTAGCCATCCTCATCCAGGATGGAGGTCAGGTCTGGCAGGTGCAAGGAGAAGGAGAAGAGCGTGCCACCACGGCTCTTGCCCTGCTCCAGTCTCTGCTTGCGGGCTGAGAGAAGCAGCGCCTGCTCCTCCAGCAGGGCGGCTTTACGGTCAGCATGGGCTTGCCGGCGGCGGCACCCAGTGAGGCTCTTGGCTGGACTGACTGATGAGGCTCGCTTACGAGCATTCTCCCTGCGCCGCCGTCGTACTTTAGTTGATGAAACAGGGGATGAGGGGAGTGAGAGCTCAGAAGGGAGGGGGTCAGCTGTGTATACATGAGGGGAGCACTGATGGTGGGAAATTTCAACGGAAAAATGACGTGTGTAAATGGAGAGAAGCGTAGGGGAGGGGAGCGAATACGCATGAACACACACGAGTATAGTGTGGGGTCAAAGGAAGGACAAGAAAAGAACAGCTAATTAGTAAAGCGCACACAAAATGAAAAGCATTTAGGCCTAGTCTAATGCAGTGGGTTAAGCTCAAAGCAACTAGGAAATTGTCATCAGCCATTAAGAACGCTATTAAGAAAGAAAACCAAATAAAGATCTCAAAAAGTGCTTGAAAAGAAAGTCACGGCAGCTTCTGAGAAATATCAGATTCTTTAAGTTGGTACGTCTCTCTGAACCAAAAATAAATAAACAAATAAAAACAAACAAACCATCAAAGCCTCTGAAAGGTAATGTAATTCAGTTAATGCAGCTCTGGCTGCACTGAGCCGGTCAGACAGCGGTTTACCTTTGTGTCTTGTCGGAGCGGTGTTGTGTCAGCGGCTTCTGGTGTCTCTGCTCCATCTTTGTGAGTGTCCTCCTGCTCTGACTGGTCTTCCTCGACCTTCTTCTCTGTTGTTACCGTGGTAATAATGTCGCCCTTAGCGATTACTTTGGCAGCAGCATTGTCCTTCATCAGAGTCTCATGGTTTTCCATAATGGGAGCTGAAATTCCAGAGGACAAAGGTGGATGAGACGGTGACATGTTATGGACACCACTGGCTTGTTCTGTAACCCCAGGAAAAGCGTTACAAGTAGCATTAAGGATTTGATTTGTTCCTACACTGTTCTGCATTGTTGTGATACCCATTATGGTTTTGTCTTGCCACTGCTAAAATATGCCAACAAATTTAGCTTTGCCAGCTTTCATTTGGAAACACCTTTCTCTTTCTTTTATAAGATATAAAAATAGAAAATAGATATAAAATGGTTTGCACTTTCAGCAAAGGATTTTGTCATAAATAGTCCATCATGAGGTGCGTTTCAATTTGAATGGCATTTAACCAGCAAAAACGGTTCCTTACCTCCATCTAGACTGCGGGACATGTTGTAGCGTTTGCTGGAGGAGCGTTCGAATAACGGAGCAGGTCTGATGATCTGAGAGCTGGCCCTACGGGTCTGAGCCTGTGTTCTGCCACTGTAGCGAAACTTGGAGCCGAGGCTCAGGAACTTCTTCGGGGGCACCTCAGGGGATACAAGCCTGACACAAATTACAAACACTCCCATTAATCAAACCAGAAATAAAACAGGTTTTTTTCAAGCACTGTAAAACATTACAACTCCGACTCATTTGAATACTCCCTGGAGGGCCCAGTGACTGGGCTTGTTACTCCAAACAACCCAGAAGAAACATTTTTTTTTGCTGAAAGCAGCACTAACAAACTTTGCAGGTTGTTCTAAAAATTTGAACACTGCTTCTGTTTTACCACAAAGACATCATGTTTGGTCATTACCTCAAGGCTGGCATAACTGTGATCACTCAATACCAGAAGAAGTATTTTTTTTTTAAACTGAAGCCTACCTAGTGCTGGATTAGAAGCTGTTTCCTGTCAAAAGTCCCCTATTACCCCTTTTCCATCGCCATGAACCGACTACTAATTCAGAGTCGCTTCTATTTGCAAGAAAGACCTGCTTAATTTTTACATGGAGCCACATCACTAAGTCACTGCATACATCTATATGAACACTGGTATCAATATTAAAGTTCCCTCTAGTTTATTCTGAACTTCTGTTGAGGACCACAGCGCAAGAAAACAGTTTGTCTCTCTGGCAGACCACTGCTGGAAAGCTGAGATCTTTATTCATCGTATTCTTCCTGCAGGTTGAAGTTTTAATATCAGCAGTTAGGGGTGTAACACTATACCTGTTGGTATCAAAAATCGTTGGTGCAGGCTTTCGGTTTAGCAAACGTGTACTAAGTAAATGCAGCCCCTGCACTTGCAAAACATTTTTCTGTGTGCAGGAATTAATTTTGTACCCCATGTTTCCCCCCAAGAAACCTCAAAACCACTGTACATACCCAACCATAATTTGTGTGTGCTGTTACATCATCATCATCAGTTGTTAATGTCGCTCTATTCACAGGTTACAATGACAGTTGTTAATGCGAGCCGTTTATACTGAGGTCACTGAGAGGATAATCCTGTCCCCAGGCCATTGGTTGGTGATGCTCTTGAAACAACTTTCCAGCCTGAGACCCAGTTCTTTAGTTGTCAAACCGTGAAGAACTGGTTCAAGGTTAGGCATGAGCTCTAAAGCATGCTCTGGACTGGATTTGGGGAAAATTATTTCATAGATTATTTCTTACCTGAAGAAGGTATGATGTTCCACGCAGACCTTCCAAAGCCTTTTGGCAGCACGATGATTGGGAAGTTTGAAACCAATTGTGCTTTCAAACTGCTCAAACTGCAAGGGAGAAAAAGATTTACGATACAATTAACTTTGACCTTGAATTCATTTTTTTCCCCCAATCTCTTTCCATAATGTGTGTTTTATTATGAATTGCTTAATATTACTATTTGTTGTTTACATAATTTTCTTAAAGTGCTTTACTTTAAGCATTGATACAAAAACAGTGAAATCCCAGAGCCTAATATTTTCAATCTAAATACAAGTAATTCAGCTGATGCAGGTCAGCTGAAACCTCTGAAACAGTCTTTACCTCGCCGGGGCGGATTTTGATGTAAAAGTTGTTTCTCTTGTAGGAGATCTTGAGGATTTTGGGCCAGGCAAATCTGTTGATCCGCAATCTGTCTCTGTAGATGAGGAGGCCACTTGCACAAACTCCCAGCATGATCTCCACACCCTCAGAGTCCTGGGAACAGCACAAATAAAAAAAAGTGAAAGTTACTTTAAAGAAACTCCTTTAAAAATGTGTCACTTTTGTAGAGCAACATAGTTTAAACACAGAAGTCACTGACCACAACATTGTTCTTATTTTCTATGATCTTCAAAATAAAAACTTCCATAAACTCTACAGGATATCAAGGAGGTGCTCAGGCGTAGGTGCACAGCGGGACAAAGAAGAACCAAGTTTATGATAATAATAGGGTTAAGCAGGCAGGTGGACAGTGGAATCAGGCATATGGCACGCTGCTCTCACCTATACAGTCAGTGGTGACGTTGAATAAAGACTGAAAGGGCACTGACTGGCAAAAGCAATGATGAGGTTCTGGGAAATAGTGGTGGATGAAGCACAAAATAAGCACAAAATAATGCTCTTCACTGCACAAAGCATTAGATGAGTGGGTAAAACCAGTGACAATGTTTTAAGAGGAAAGCGCTTATCCAAAGCAGGAACAACCAGTCTTAAGTAATTAGTGGGATGATGAAAATGACGACTTTGAATGTAACCATGCACAAGTAGAAACCTCACTTACACACTCACAAACTCACACACACACACACACACACTCACACACACAGGTAAGCACATGAAAGCAGCCTCTTACCTCTCCCTCAGCTGGAGCCAAGCATTCATAAAGACTGCCTACCAACTTTGCATTTAATGAGAGAGGAGAGAAGACAAAAGAGGAATGCTGGTCTAATATGTACACATTTTTCTTGTGTATCAAAACTCTGACACACAAAGGCAACACTGAGCATTGATGTCTAATCAGTTTGATCATGGCCACTTTCTCCTCTCTGTCATCGCCTCCATTCTGATTTAAATCTGTGAAGGCAATATCCTCCCCATTGCTCATATCTAGACCCATTCTAACTTTCAAAGCACTGTTGATTCATATCAAGAAGACTGATGAGTGTAATTTTCTTTGATGGCAGCGCTTCTGCTGTCGTACTCGAGCTCTTTCTTTCTTTCTGCATTCTAAAAGACGTATTTGATCCCATCTGGCTAGCAGGACAGAAACAGCAAGAAAGCCATGTAAGTTAAACTGGGCTTCAGACTCCTCAATCTACTACCACCTTAATTCCCACAATCCTAGAGAGGCAGCAGTGATATGTCAGTCAATCAGCAGAGCAGCAATGGCATGTTAAATCAAAGCGTTACTGTGGCAGCCATGATGTTTCTGAAGCAGCGATGTTGTAGTAGCAAGTGTTACTATTGACTGCATGAGTGAAATATGTTAGTTTTAGATCTTATATAGAGAATAAGAGAACTCTCACAGTCTAACTTGTATAATGCTTAATGAATCTTAGAAACATCTACCATTACTACAGATGCGAAGGACATTCTAGTACAGTGATTTATTTAAAGATGAGAAGAAAAATACTGCTATCATTAGTGCATTGCAAATGTAAAGCTGCAGCCAGTACCTGGTTAGATTGGTACAAAGACTGGACACAGAGCTGAAACAGTGACTAAGGCTCTGTCCAACAATAACAAAACCACCATACATTCACCACTGAAGATGTAACATTTTAACAAGGTCATTATGTTGTGTTTCTTCACCTGCTGTGTCCCTTACTGGCAGACAGAGCTTCAATTAGTTGTACTTTGTAGCTGTATTTTGGTCAATAATTACCTGATTTGAGTGGGTTTTTTTGTTTTGTTTTGTTTTTTTAAAGTAAAAGATCACTGATTCCAGCTCCTTAAATTTAAATATTTACTTTTTTGACACTATTCCATCACAGTAATTTAGATGTCTTTGGTTTGCGGTTAAAACAAGATATTTGAGGAAGTAATTTTGGACCAAATGGCCCAAACAACTAATACATCAACAGAGAAAATAATGAACAGAATAATCGACAATGAAAATATTTGTTAGTTACAGCACTGTAGCCTGTTCCTGGCTGAGAAATAATTCCAACACAATGTCTAGCAAAATCACAATTTCTCACAAATTTGGTGTTATAAATTAATTAGACGATGTGCTGATAGGGGAATTTTTTGAAAAGGGCCACCTGTTTTCAGTCTTAGTGCTAAGCTTAGTTAACTGATTTCTGGCTGTACCTTTATATTTATTGTACTGATATGAGGATGGTAACAATTTTCTCATCTAACTATCTGCAAGAAATAAAATAACAGATTACCAGTTACCATTTTAAAACAAACAAAAAAAAAAACATTAGATATTATGTTTGACTTGTAAGAGACAAATATTGTAAAAATTGTATATGGGATTAAAATTTTGTCATGACGTGTTACCTTAGCGTGGTGGAGGTCCACACCATACATAGACAGCTTCTTGGCATTTTCCAGGAAGTGCATCTCTGCTTCAGCTGGTGTCATCCCCCTGACAAGACAGGACCCAACAAACAATTAACAAAAGATTTCTGACCAATGCAACACTTGAGAAGAAGAACCGTTTCCAATAATGTTGTAACAATAGTAATTCACAGTACTGCAGAAAATATATTGAAAAATGGTTGGCTTTATGGATGCTCGTAGCTGAAGCTCCACAGAGGAACATAAGAGAATACTTTCTTAGCACAGATGATCATTAGATAGACCCTAATCCTGGCACTGTCATTGTATTGCTGCACTCACTGGACTAGACAGGACTGCATCAAATTACACACAGATGATTGTAATACACAGAGAATGGGGGCTCAGACAAAGGACAGCCAGCTAGATCCATTTATAATCGAGCACAAATCCAATATCTGCAGACTTGCAGCCTTTCACAACATGTAATTATTGCAGATTGTAAACATTTATTCGGGTGAACTTACTGACTTAAAGCTGTTAGATGTATTCATTACAAACTAATTTTATCCAAAACGACTGTAGAAGAGCCATATGTTTTGTAACTGACGTAAAAAAAAAATGTTGCAAAAACAATCTGTCAGCATATGACTATTGTTTAAGGATCATGTTTGTCAAAATCCTTGTATGCACAGGTACATCATTTCCACTGAGGAAATACAAAAGTGCACTTTCATACTTACAGCTGCATATTTTTTCTTACTGAGACATCTAAGTCCTTTTATTGTCAGCCACCAAAATCCAAATAACAAAAGCACTGAGTAGATAACCACAGTAAATGAATCATTTCTAACATCAGTAACCTCACAGATTTTTAATTCTCTGTAATATTATTCTCTTCTTTAAGGCACCTGTATGTGTAGCTGGACTAGGACTGTATTAAAAGCTATGCAGACGGTTCAAGCTCAGAGTTTCGGGAATGATGCAGAGACTAACTTGTAGGTCTTGTGAAGTTCCATGACCTTCTCCTCTAGCTCTTTGGTTTGGTTGGGTGCAAATCGCAGCTCGCTGATGTAGTCGCTGCCCAGTTCTTCAGGGTCATAGTCTCCAAGTTCGGACTGCACTGTGTACGAGCCCAGCACCGTGTGGGTGGCAAAGGAACAGGGGAGGCGACCTGAAACTACATCATCCCTTAGCTGCAAGCACAGGTAGTACCTGTGAGAGGGAAAAGAGAAGAGGGCAAAACAGGTGTGTGAGAGGGAAAAGAGAGAGGGCAAAACAGGTGGGTCATTTTGTTTTTGTTATTTATTTCCAATGTGTGGATTTTCTTACATGTTTCTGTTGTAAGTCTTCTCAGATTTATAAATGCATTGGATATCCAAGTCTACAAAAATGAAACTTAAAAACCACTTACAAAAGAAGACAATAAAAATGCTAACTGACCTTGTGATGTCCTCGGTCAGCTGGGAGGGGTCTGGAGGGTAAAACTTCACGTTGAAAGCAAAGTTCCAGGGACCAGCTGAGATGCAGACAGAACATCAAAATATTAAAATCAGAATTTTTTTAAACTGCACACACCTCAGTTGAATATAAAGAACAAAACAGTTGACAATGGATTTTGTAGGATTCCCACACTTACTCCTGATCTGCTTCTTTAGCTCTTTGGAAGGATCCAGCCAATTCTGCAACAGACAACCACAGATGCAAAGCATTTATCATGACCAGTTTGTGAGTAAAATAATCAAGAACCACAGTTTGTAAAGTGGACTTCATTGTCCAAGGACATAAATGCCAGGAAATTACGTAAACACTGTCTTTGAAGAACGCTCAGCATGTCAACAGTAGAAGACACAATTGTATTATGCTTCTACTGCCAATATCAAAAATCAAATCAAATCAAAGTTATTGTCATTTTGCTGTACATGCACAGTAGTACAGGCAAGACGAGAGAGCATTTCTTCAGGATCATTTAATAAGTAAGTTTTGCAGACAGCACGTCTGGGATAGGCAAGACACTAAACGTTCACTCTCGCTGTCTCCTGAAAGGGCCGCTGTGTCCATGTGCGCCGCCATCACGTTGAACATGGTGAACCTCTTCAGGTCCTGGTAGGTCTTCAGGAACACAAAGACACACACGATGGTGTGACGATGGTGAAGTCGGCATAATGTCATCCCCTCCAGCTGTATGTCCCTCTCGTGGATGTCATGGAGCCATGTTTTTGTAAAAGCAAACACACAGCAGTCTTTCCACTCTCTGCGGGTTTCTCTCAGCAAACGCAGCTCGTTGTGGAGGGAGCGGACATTGCAGAGTAGGAGCGACGGTCCTGCTGATCTGGAGTGGTTAGCCTTTAGCCTAGCATGGATCCTGGCTCTCTTCCCCCTCTTTTGTTTACGTTTGTACTGCTTGTGCTTCCTTCTCTCTCGGGTAACTGCCAGCGTAGTCTCCGACAGGACTCGTGTTGGTGTAGTTTGTCCAAATCACAACCGATCGCTGCAATTCCAGTGCCGTTCACTGTCCTGACACCCAGCAAAGTCTCCCAGCCACACTTTTTGCGGAATGAACAATAAACCACTTTGCAACTTTATAAAAAAAATAATATGCTAGCCAATATGAGTACTAATACATTTTACTGAAAACTTTCTTTTAGATTACCTTCTGATTCTCCACATCTCTATATGTGATGCCAAAGTAGTCTTTCTCCAGTAGGTTGAGGTGATCACACACTTTGTCAAAGAGCACGTTGCCCCTGGCTCGTTTCTGTGAGAAGAAAGAACAAATCACACTGAATGCAGAGTCATTAATGGGTTCAATGATGTGCATATTTTTCAGATCTATGCACAATTTTTTACGTTAGGATGAATGAACAGCTGCCTCAGTGACCATCATTTATTTAACTGCTTTAGCTAGTTCTCTAATGTCTCAGCCACAAGCAAAGCACATGAAATGATTTCTTTTGGCTGCAAGAGCAAACCCCATGCTCTTCACACACTCCCACCTCATGCACAACGCTTCTGTCTGTTTCTCTCTTGCTCTCTGTGCTCACACATACTGTATTTCAATGCAGACAACTTCCCAATAAAGCTGTTCTTATTTACATATTTGTCTGTCTCTGTTTTCAGATTATAGAACAGGTATAAAATAGTCAGCATCAACACTACATGTCAACACAACATTGTCTGACAAACTTTTATGCAAAGGGTAAAGACGAGGGCTGTGCTGTGACTTCAGCTACATCAGTGACAGAATGTCTCGACTGTGATACACTCATTCACGTCTGTGTCAACTGCTGAGCTGCCAACTGTTTTGCTCTGTGCTGTCAGTCACAGACACAGAGAGGCTTTTACCTGAAGGGGGTGTGGACAGCAGCAGCTCAGCTGGACTGAAAGCCACAGACACTGAAGCGGCTTACGTAGAACAGGGCTAAAACGAAGAGTTACCCAGGCTTGCTAAAACAAACCATGTTTGAACTAAAAATTAGAAAGACAGATTCTGGGGACATGTCAGACTTTCACTAGTTTGCTGAAAAGGGATATAATATAGGATATTTAAATGAAATTTAAAGATGAAATGAGTTTAATAAAACTAACATGATGATGTAGCACACTATGCTGCTGCATGACAGGGCCTTTTCGGCATGGGCTAACCCTAAAGGTATCGGAGCCAAAATTGACCAACTGGGCCACTCGAAATTGATTTCTTCTTCTGTAAAGCATTATGGTATAAACACACTGCTAAAGGTGAACATTAGCTATGTGAGTGCTTTACACCAATCGATTATACATCTCTGACTGATGAGATGCCATTGGCTAGGGCTTTGTCGTCTCCCCCACTTAACAAGGCTGGACTTGACAGACTCATTTAGTCGGCTCACATGGGATATTTTAAGGACTGAGTTGCCACGACACAGAGTCAGAGCATGTTCCTGCAGGGGGATAGGCTGGAAACCACTGCTTTGGCTTATTCTAGCAGCAGGAGTCACAGCGTGTCTGTGTATCTGTCATAGTCAGTGCAAGCAGAGAAGCACACGAATGCTGTCAAATAAAGGCCTCAAAGAATGTAAACATATACATTTCTAAGTCTGAGACACATGCAACACAACCTTTTAAACAAGAAAACTCCTAACTGTCTGAATGTGATTTTAAGAAAGCTGCCAGTGGCAGAGAGTTAATGCTACCAGAACATCAGTCACGTCAGACTACTGGTGCCTGGCTGACAGACTACTGACAGACATATACAAAGGGCTGTGATGTACAAAACTCTGTTTAGGATCAAATAGCTGTTGCACAGATATAGCTAAGGCATCCAAAGAAAATAAGTGAAGAGGGTAACAGATGCAGCTGACTGATCTGGTAGGCACTCAGCCTTCCTCTGGGTTGTTCCAGAAAAAGAAAATGGCAGGAAACTGGAGGGTAAATTGATCTCAAATTAGAGAAGGACCCATCAATCTTGATCAATTTCAGGATGCTCTTTTCTAAATTTAGAGAGCAAACAACAGCAGTAGCATGCCAACTTTATAGATTTGCAATGATTATATGAAGAAAGAGGAGCTTGTATAGACAAACCATGTGTCTTCATCTAAAGACTGTTTTCTTAATGAATCACTTGACCTACAAAATACTAGAAAATATATTGTTCTTGCTGTGTTGTTGTAGTTAACTTCATTAAATATCTTATTTTCTTCAAACAGAGCTCCAAAACCCAACAATATACAGCTTCCAATTAAAACAGAGAAAAACACCAATTATTTATCTCATAAAACTACAATAAACTATTTATCTCATAAAATTAAAATAAACTGACTTAAAAGACAACATTTAGCATGCACTGTCATGGACTTTAGAGTTAGGATATAGTTGTAAATCTACAGTTCAAGGGCTTTAAAAAAATAAAAAATAAAATTTAAAAAAAGCCATGAACTCAAAACAATAAGACAGTAAGATGAAGGATTTTCTTCTTCCTCCACTGAGATTTAACAACCTTTGAAATGAAGAGGAGGAGGTTCAGCAGTTCTGTGTCACAGAAAATGATAGGAAACGATTAGGACAGACATTTTTCCCCAAAGGGGAAAATGGCATTGAGCTGGAAAACTACAAGGTCAGGGGGGATAAAAATGTCAAATCTTGACACTCTCGACCGCTTTCAAATAGGATTGGAAGGAGGGAGGAGGACTCCCTGGCAATTATCCGAGGGTTGTCTGACTTCAATTGTATTATGGTGTCAAACATATAAGCTAACCGAACATATGTCTTCTGTGTGTCACCTACAGCAGCTGGATGTTCTCATACAACAGAATTTTATTTCAGTTTTAAGTAAAATGGTCCAACTGATTGTGATTGTGCCTTATTGGTTGCTATGACAACTCCTTTGGAAGGTGGCCAAGCAGCCAACTAGCTCTTTTTTGTTGCCTCTTGCATTTTACTGTAGTGATTGTAATGTTTATTAACGAAAGCTTTTCAGTCAAGGAGTGACCTGTAAAAAACATATCTAAGGACACAGTGCTACCTTGATTATGGGTATTTTTTGGCTGCAAGCAGCACCGGTGAGACTTGTGCATACTGCATCACCATTGTATCAGTGAGCACAGCTTGATTTTGCAGCAAGAAGGGGCCTAATTCAGCCACAACCATGTAGAGAAGCAGACAAAACTGCTATTCAGACATAATTGTGTAGCTCAAATGGTCTGAGTAAATTTAAAGTTTCTTACTTATTTGTTTGCACTGACTTGTTATTTTATTGCTTAAATGGCAAATTAAAAAATAGTATACTTGCATACACATCCACAAAAGCTCAGAGGAACAGCTGTTGGATGTGAAGAAAAAAAAGAAAAATAAAAAGAATAAAGTGACAGAAAGGGGGACACTCCAAAGAATTCTCAAAACTTAATCATAGCCAACTTCAGGCTAATACACCTAGAAAAGAAATGTGCAGTTTATACAGTAAATAGTCACGTACAATATTATAATTACTTGTTATTATTATTACCAGCATTAATTTATCAAAAAATAAATGACAAAAAAAGTGAAATTATCATATAGAAAACATTTTGTCAGTTTTGTTTGATAATTGCTTTGAACTATTATTTTGATCTATTAATTTTCTGTGGATTGACTTGCTCTTTTAGCACCCAAAAGATAAACTCTATACAAAATCCTGATAGGCGAATTGTAGAATGTGTAGTAAATGGATGATTTATGAAGAGATAAAAAGCTTCATGTGCACGTCAGCGTTGCTAGGTCTGCAGGTCAGGGTTGCAAGGCTACTTTTGACGCATCGTGCAAGCTCAATTTTTAGCTTTTTGTTTGGGCAGACATGCAGCGTGGGTTCTCTGGCTTCCTCCCACAAGGTCCAAAAACATGTTGAGGTTAACTGGTGATTCTAAATTGTCTGTAGGTGTGAGTGTGAGTGTGCTTGGTTGTCTGTCTGTCTCTAAGTGTAGCCCTGTGATAGACTGGTGACCTGTCCAGGGTGTCCCCTGCCTTCACCCTAAATCAGTTGGGACAGGTTCCAGTCGTCCACGACCCTAGCGAGGATGAAGCGGTGTATAGATAATGGATGGATGTTTAGATAGACCTATTGTGCGTGCAACTTACATTAATACCATCAATAGTGAAAAATTGCTTCAAATGCAATCTTTTTTTTTTTTTTTTTTAACACTCAAATCCTATTATACTCAGTCCAGACCAGAGCATACAACACGTAACACACAGACGACATGCTGTATTGCTGATTGTATTGGACTGCTTTTGCTTAGCCACTGTGCTGTTTTTGTCACATAGACCTGGCAATGCTTCTGAGCATTTCAGGTTTTCTGAACAGAATAGACAAGCATTCCAGTGTCGTGCATTTTCTTTCTTTCTGACTCTGCCAGTCCCTTCTTTTCACATCCCCTCCAATGCAGTCTAATCTCAAGTCAGTTCTAAGTATTCCTCATTTAATCGGTGTCAGGGTTGGGACACAGTGAAGAGGGTTTAGACTTGTGCCAAGAAAAGTCTTGGCTCTGGCCATCCTAGCAGGAGGGCAGGACTGGGGGATTACAGGACAGTAAGCAGAGGGGACATGGTGGCTCAATACTACACTTGCTATTCAGACAAATACACAAAAAATTGACATTTAGTGTTTTAAGAGATCAGTCAAATTCATTCTGGAATAAAACACTTAGGATACATCATCCTATTTTTGAGGTGGACCCAACGGATTAATTAATAATTAGGAAGGCTGTTGTGAATACAGTAAAAGCTCAAGTGTAGTGTGTATAATGCAGTGCAAAGTCATCTTATTTATATTACACACTGCAAGATAATTCATTCACTTATTTTCTGTTCCATGAAACTAGCACTCAAAAGGCCAATTAGTGATTTTTAACTATATTCACTGCGATAATTAGGAAATATAACTTGATGATGAATAAGACTCTTTGTGTTCTTAAGTTGAGCAAATTTCACTTTTAGGTCAGATTTAGCTTTTGTCTGGTGAAACTCCATCTATTAAAAGGGGCAAACCTCAAATTGTACACATCAAGATCAGTGTATTTGTCTTTAGGGGTATTACCTCAGCTCTTAAAACATCAATATTGTCCTGTGTGGATCTGGATTAACTTAGTAGAGTTGAAAGAAAAAAATATGCTTTTATAAGAGTCATCTCTTTGGCCTGTTTTAGGAACTTGAGCAACATTAGGAACTTAAAGTGAGAGGTTTCTTTCTGTTTTCTTTCTAGTAAATAGGTAGAGTGCTCCTTTAAAATACCTGTCAGTTAACTTTCAGATAAAACCGGGTCTCAATGTATTGTTTGGAATTTCGAGCTCAGAATTATACATTTATACGTTACACTAAAGGATTATGCCTTTACAGACAGTGCATCATTTAAGATTTTAAAAAATCTCAATATCCTGTTTGAAGCTTAATGAAATAATGTTTCACAATCTTTCAGAATATGAGTGAATCTCATACAGAGCTTAGAAAAAAACAACAATGCGTAATGTTCTCTAAGTCTGTCTCAAGGGTAAGAAGTCCAGACTGACCTCCAATTCCCCCGGTTCTAATGTCCTTAAAAAATCCCTCCAGTGCCACAGTGGGACATCAAGTAATCATGCCAACACACTGAGTCAATGACACTGATTCCCTCCAACAAATGCTCCCATTTCACAGTCAGAACGCATCACCTCACCACCAAAACAGCCAGTTAATCCCTCTATCCAAACCCCTGGTGAGGAGGAATCTGCTTAAAGGAAATTTGCAGAGGAGTGTCTGGTTCTCTCATTCAGCCAGTGCATCTTTTTTAGGAATCTTACAAAGTTTCAGTTTGTATATCCTTGAGAAAAAGCTCAACTTTGTTTTGTTAGGGAAGAAATATGTAAAAGTAAAAGTTAATGAGTCCGATTTATTCCTGAATTATGAATGCCCGAACAGAAAGAAAGACTGTCCTGTCTGAAGGCAGAAGGCAGCTATTATGTTGTGAAGCTCCAACACTCACATGTACAACAAAAAGGCCTTTTCCTAGTGGGCAGTCCTTGAATAGTGGGGGTTATTTCAGAATACTGGACAATGAATATATTATCAGAGTACGAGTTCCATTTAAAAGTACACAGTGCTGCTTTGGGGAAAAAACTGACAAAGGAATTTGACACGATACAAAGTAAAAGAGGAGTGAAATTCATCAAAGCCTGACAAGATGCATGATACAGTCAAAAAGAAATCAGGCAGCAAAATAACACAAAAACATTGCAATTGATTTGATGCACTGTCCATCCCAAAAAATAATGACTCCATATACTACTTCACCCTCCCCTCATTTTACCCAATATGATTAACAACCAGCTCATGCTCTATTGCTTTTCTTCCCAAAACATGCCATTTTCATATTCAGTTTTTCCACATTATGATAAAAGACATACTGCTGGGATAGTGGTGCCGTGAGCTTCACATTTACAACACAAAGACACGTGTTTTTCACTGATTGTTGGCTCCTCTTTCCTCAAAGGGTTTATTTCTGGATAGCAGATGAGCTTTGAAGTAAGAACTGAACATTTAAGAACATGAATATTTTTTCTCTCAAGGCTACACAGAGAAGCTTTAGAGGAAAAACAAAATCCCATAAGGCAGTTTGACAATGGAAATGGAAATGTGTGGTGAAATCCATGAAATCCCTGCTTCGGAGAAGGGTTGTCAAAATGCAGTTTTATTCTGCTAATGCAACAGAACAAGGATCAGAAAACTAACACCCACAGAAATTCTGGGTGCAGCAGAAGGCTGATGGTATAAACTATCAAGTCATTCGGTTCCTAATAATTATGTGCTGTTGAGACATATCTTTGTGTTTACATATCGGCATAGTAAATCAGCTTACTACCCTCAAATCAACCACAATTAAACTTTTTTTTTCTTTTAAGTATTTGACTGGTGCCACATGCTGCATTATACGCTTTTAAAATGAGGGTAACTTGCATTACCATCTCTGCAAAGGGAAGCGTTTTTGGCTTACTTTGCAAACACAAAGTATCAAATATTCCTTCAGATTTCAGAAGTACAATAATCTGTCTGACTTTGGAAAGCTGTAAAATTTTAGAGACCAACTACAGATCATATATATATATCTTCTTCCTATATAGCAATGCCTTTTAGTATGGTCCCTGCACAAGGACACTGCTATGTATGGACATCAGTAGGTGGGGAACAGTCAACACTGTGTTGTAAATGGACAGCCTTGTGTATCCCCTGAACCACAGTTACACTTGTGTTATTTAAAAATGACTGTTACATTAAATTGCCACATGGTTGGGCAAATATATTGCCTATTGCTGACTGGTCCATCACAGTATTTTTTATTTGTTTTTTTTTGTTTTTTAAGGTGATGTCAGCGATTTTATTTTGCTAATTTAAGGGTCTGCATCCTGAAGAATTACAAAGTGTAACTAAAGCATTAGCACTAACAGGAATTGGCAGTTAAAGTAGCCTTAGTCACTGCTCAATGATTGCCAATAGAGGTGGTTAAATTACTATTATCAGTCATTAAAGTGTGTAGACAGCCATAAATTTCAGTGTAACAGTTATCCAAATGTGTACTGTGTTTGCTGCACCATGAAAGAAGACAAAAGCCTGGCCCACGCAAACTTACAAAGCATCTCTCTGCCTCTCTCTCATCACTGCAGAAATTGTACAGATAGCCAAGGCTAGTTAGCAACTATGAACCAGAATAGGAGAGACACTGCTGAAAATAAGAGGCCCCCTGCCAGGGTCAGGGGCCACGAATCAGGAAAGAGCAGGGTGTCCAAGATTGACAACTTGACTGTGTCAGCTTTAGACAAATTTAGACAAAATCATGATACTCTCTATTTGTGAGCCCAGGATTGGTTCATGTCTGAGGGGAGAAGCCAACAACAGTCTCACAAATGCTTTGATTCTGAGTGTGAATGAAGAGGGGCTGATTACAGCTCTACAATGAAATAAGATCTATTAAAAAAAAAAAAGAAAAGAAAATGATGATGTGGTGGTCTGGGAATGGCCCGTCAAAAATATCACCCAACCCAACATGCTGCATATAGAACCCTAAAAAATGACCACTATTCTGTAGTAAACCGAAGCAAAAAGGATCTTCACCACCTGCAGAGTCTCACCTCCACATTGAGCGTGTAGTCGGAGCCGTCCAGCAGGGTGATTTTACACTGCATGATCTTCACTTTCTTGACGCCTCTCAAAGGAGACCTGGACAGACGACTGGTGGATGACCGGTGGGACACCTGATCCTCTTCTACCTGCTCCTGACAGAAAGAGAGCAATGGTGACTGGATGGTAATGAGTGTAACAACAGTAACAAATGTGTATGTACCATATTTACAGTTTTGCGCATGTTTGTGCACTGGGCTTCTTTGTTAACCATCTTAAAACAGAGAAAGGTTATTTCACTGAATAATTGTCTCACTGTTTAAGAAATGAATGCTTTTAGACCAACTGTGCTCACAGAGCACAAATGTAAAATACTCACACACACATTTCATTACCCAAATGCCCCTAACTGGCTTAAAGGTTTACCTCTTAATGTAGTTACCTCTTAAACCCCCCCCCCCCAAAAAAAAACAAGGAACATTTCTGTCATAATTTCTAAAACTAAAAATAGAGACCGGGACTCTGACTGAATGTAATCGCGTCCCACTGAGAAGAGCTCAGGGTGTACAGCCATTTTGTCTTAAAGAGAGAAAATCCAATTTTCCTCTTCACTGAAAACAAAGCCCTTTCTGGCTGACTTTACGTGGAAAAAGGGGCCTGTAGCTTAAAGACATTTTTTCTTCTTTCTCACAAAGTGGATTTAGTACCCCTTTCATTCTGACGAAGAACATTCCTTATCTTGTTCTTCAGGCTATATCTACCACACTGTTCCTATAGTATCTACTGTAGCTCATGTGTCCACGATTCTCCCTGTGGACTCCTTCAGATGTAGTGCTTAACTACAGAAGAAAATTGCAATTTTAGACATCACAGGACTGTAATATAAATGTAATTACCTTAGAATTTTCTAGAAACACCAATGTTATAAATAATCCACATGAAAGAAATTGTAAGCTGAGTACACTTCATTGATATGCGCTCCCTGCTGGAGCATGTGTCTCACAGGAAGGGCTGACAGTGCTGTGTCAAGAGTGCTGTGATTTCTCTTAGTGTTGCTTCTGCCAAGTCACAGAGTTCCGACAATGGTAGCGCATCATCTATCATTTTCAGTGTGGCACCACAAGGGCTGTTAAATGCTGCTAAGTGCTGCAAATTATAAAGGATACCAGTTTAGACAGGCCAAATGGGTAACACTGTGTTCTGTCAGGAAGAAAATTAAACATTTTTAAAACAGTTTTTGTCCATTCTAGCAACCTGGCTCTGTGACAGTCTCTGGGTTGGTCTGTCTATCTTTAGTCCATTTAAAAATATCTCATTCACTGTTTGATTAATTATAGAGGAATGCTGTACAGATATTTTTGGTCCTAAAAGTTTTTTTTGTAAAAACTTTAATCACTTGACTTTTCGTGCCAAAATCATTGTCTTATCACATGCATAACCAAAGATATCCCCACATACAGCTGAGGCAAGTGTTTTACTTTTTGCATCTGTGAGTACGTTTGTGTGGAGTAAATATCTCCCCAAGCCTGCAAGAGTCTGCGCCCAAAATTTGTGTTGCTACAGCAACTATGCTACAAGGGCAGCTGTGCACATGCTCAACAGTAGTGTGCAAGTGCAAAATATTTAGATGTGACCTAGGGTTGGGCGACATAGCTAAAAATTCAATCACAATAACATTTCTTATGTCGTCAGTATATTCAATAATTATTGACAATTTTTAAATAAATAATTTCAGATTTTGGTAAGATTCTACTTATTTCTTACTTGGGACCCAAAACTAAGATCTGTAAAATATTTTGGCTAAACTTTTAGTATTTCATATGCTGTACTGAAATATGTACGAAGAGCAATAAAAGAAAACAGTGCAAAAGAGTTGTCAATCCTCAGTGGTTTTACATTTCATCCGTTTCAAATTCTCAAATGCCATTTCAATGTCAATGTCGCTCTTAATGTCAAGGCTGTATTGTCTTCCTTGCATCATTATAGTTGGAAGGGAGCACAGAACTTGCACTACTGGCACCAACCGATACTGTGGTGGCACAAACACCTAGAAGTTGGTTAAATAACATTGTATCATTTTATTAATTCAGTCACTCTTATGCTATTTTATGCGGTCTAGAAAATAATGAATTTATCCATCAGATCGCCCTGCTGTGGTTGCTTTCTCATTACAGCTTGTTATGATTCATGTATAAACTCAGGCTCCATTTCCTGTCTTCATCAAACACCTCATTTCTACACCTATTTTTTCTACAACATGATCAGCACCTGCTGAGTCTGAGTATGCTTAAAGTATGGTTACATGCTTGTACATCATTACAAGGCCAAACATTAAAAAAATCCATCTCTACTACTTTCAACAATTTCACATTTGGCTGAGGAGGCTTTGATTCGTTGACTTCTTAATATGGGTTTCTCCTGAATGACAGAAATCTACAACTTTAAACATCAGCATGTGTTGACTAAGAAAAGGCCATCGGCAATATGCCTCGAATGTCAGGTAGAAGAAAGAAACAGTAGGACAGGAGAGCTCAGAGCTAATCCCCACTCTAATGCGTCTGAGGCCCTTCATATAGCAGACATCGGTCAAAACTCTTGTAGCCTTTTTCATTTGGATTTTAAAATGTATTACTTTTAGACTCTCTGGTTATATCCATCGACAGACTAATTTGGGGTTAAAAAAAAAAAAAAAAAAAAGCATATAAATTGGCTTCAACTATGCAGAATGACTAAACACATCCTACAATGAAATTGGTGTGACTTCAAACTTGTCGACAAGAGGTTTTTTTAAAACAAAACAGCAGAAAGATGGTGGTGTCTGGAGTGAGATATGTAGTGTTCTGTTTGGGAGAAAACTGCCTTGAACTATATAAATATACATTTTACACCTGCCAGAGCTGCATACTGGAGACCAAATCTGTACAGCTGGGGAACATGTTTTCTTCTCGAGTAGTTAATTAGAGAATAAGCAGGAATCTGCCTCTGCCTTACCCTCTGTACTGTTAAAGCAACGGAAATTCAATCTGAAAATCAATTGGATAGTGAGGCCAAGAGGCTGTTTGGGCCAAAATCTGCAGACAGACACTTAGTGTTCAGATAACATCAGTAGCTACTTGGGCTTCCTCAGACAAAAAATAGACAGGCTGCAGGGTACAGTATTCTTTATAACTGAGATGTCCGTGTTTAAGACACACTAGCCTTTGTTTCCCACCGTTTCCACGGTCACCTAAATATGCTTTTTAAAAATTACATTTAACTGAAAACAACCTTCAAATCGCAGCTGTTAATTTGCCAATTTATTTTATTAAAATTTTATTAGTTAGTTTTTTAAATCACTAAAATTATCCCGTTTGTCAGAGCCAGAAGCTGTAAAAACATGAGGAATCATTAGATTTTTATACCTCTGCTAGTCTTTGAAGTCATCATGTGTGATATCAGGTTATGTCAGGAAAATTACGCTTACATTACAAATTTCATCAAAATCATGTCTCATTGAAAAATGTTCAAAACCATGCACACGAACCTGATTCAGGGAAAAACAAAAAGCGACACCTTAACACAACATGAATCAATGAGTGACTTGGTTGCAACTAACAATCATGGTAGGTGAAAGGTAAGTATGGAAACAAACTTAAAAATAAATAAATAGTACAGTATGTATAGCACATACAACGCCAACTCCCCCCCCCCCAGTAATAGTATTACCTGTAGGCACTTGAAAAAACGTTGTACTTGTTAATTCATTTTTATATTTTTTTTCATTAATCCTAAATAAATACTTTTAAAAAATCTATTTTTCTTCTTTTTGTTTGTACGATTCATGGTATTCTCACTGTGTCATACTGCACTGAAGACATTTCTGAATTCTCTCTCCTGCTAGCTTAATGAGGAGCAAAAACACCCAGAGACTGGGATTCTGAGAATAAAAACACTAAACAGAAACTTATAGTCATAGTTCAACAGTGCCAGCTTTCCCAGCAATTACCAGAACAATCAAACTTTATTACAGTCTAAACCTTCAACCACGAAAAATCATGAGCTTTTACTTCCAACCAACTACTTACTCATCATTGCCACTGCTGTGTTAAGTTGCGCTCCTCTATATGATCAATTAATGGAACACTGAAAATAAAAACATCCAGACTTTGTTTCTCAATAGCCCCTAAGTACACGGAACATTGCTGGGTTAAAGTGACGGCATTCTGTCATTCAAACCCCTTTCAGACAAAAGGTCACTTTTCTGTTGTTGTTCCTCACACCTGCATTCAACAGACCACCCACATTGTCATTCACAATGAAGTTATTGCTGTTGCTTTGTGCATAAATAAAGCTCTTACTTTGTAGACACTGTGGATCCCACGAGGAAATAGTCCTAAACAGCTCGAAACTAAACTACCCCTGTGTGTGTGGGGGAAGACATGTAGACCGACACAGTGTGATCTACTGTTGGATCCTGGTCCGGACTGATCCGCTCTCCATGCGCTCTCTTGGCAATAATTTAAAAGTATAAGAATGTAACTAGTTACTGGTGCTCAGTGTGCAAATGTGCACAACTCTCTCTCTTTGGAGATGCACGAATAGATCCTGCTGCTGTCTGATGCTGCAGGTAGTAAACTAACTCAGAGCCAACAGTTCTAAACAGCTGGAAAAAGCAAACTTCAGCTCTTCTTAGCATCTTGTGAGGAAAAAAAAATGGATTATGTTAATTATTGGCAAGTATAATTTATCTTTAAGCTGCTAGTGTCTGTTCTAATCAGAGTAAGGTTTTAATATTATGAACATTTGATTTTGTTGACTTATAGATTCTAAATTGTAAAGTGCATAAAAACGATGTGTGAGGATTTTGGCACACAAACTGTGTATTAAGCCTCTCTCTGATGTTTCTGGATGAATATTGGTGCTGAAATGTAGAAAAATCCTTCATTAAAACACTTCACACAACTGAAAGTAACGCTGTTACGAGTCTATCCATTAATGTGGCGGCTTACTTCAGACGTGCACTGTAGTGAAAGTGTTATGGAAATGTTTCTAGGTCCGATTTAGTAACATTTCCAAGGCTACTTTTATGGATGAGCAACCAGGGTGCATATTCAGACACACAACTGCCCCGTGTAGTCGCAGTCAGATTAATGTAACAGAGTGCATGTCTGAAAGGGGTAAATGTGTTTTTTCCACATTTTCAAAATAAAAGCATGGAGCACTGACTGAAAGACAAGCTTTCTTGTAAACAAATGCATCTGACACAGGGTCGCAATTGTCATAGAGGACGCTGAGGTCATGCGTCACTATTTTTTGCCCCTTGTATTCACTTCCATTTTCTTAACAAAGACACAATTCATTTAGGGGAGGGATGAATGGTGTGTAATGTTTTCTCAAATGTAATGGGATCTATACAGTGTTGCTAAATATTGCAAATTGCAAAAAACAATACTTGATTCAATTAAAATATTTTTACAAGAAATGTAAATTAAAAATAAATAAATACAAAAAAGGAAAAATATTTCATGGATCTTTGATTTCAATTAAATGTGTCACAGAAGTGACAGTTGGATGCATGTGTTGAGAAGAGGCTGACCTGCTCTTTCCTGGCTGGGGTGCTGTGTCCGGCGGCAGCTGGAAGCTGTTCCGGATGGTTCTGTGGCGAGGTGGGTTCGGCTGCTGCCTGGCTGGGCTGGGATGCTGCTTTTGCTTTCCCCTTCTGTGTCTCCTTGTTCTCCTGCAGCTGCTTGGCCTCAGAGTCTGCGCCTGACTCAGTTGTCATGGTAAATCACACTGGAGGGCAAAAAAAGAAAGGAAAAGAGGGAGGAAAACTAGATGACTCGGCTGACTTGTTATGGACTGATGTGCTGCCACTTTTCAGGCCTAATGATAAGCTCCCCTATGAGGCAAATGTGGAGACATGGATATTAGTTGACAGCACAAAAAAAAAAATGTATGCAAGAGGCTTAGGTGCACCCAAGTTCCCTTTTTCAATAATATCTCTTGTGTCAGCAGCTGATAAGGAAAACACAAAGGCATGTACAAAGACATTCACCAATTCTAAAATATATATACTTTCACATTTTGTTCAGCCAGATTACATTGTTTTATTACTGTATCATGTACAGCTACAATTACTTATTTTTGTAGTGGACATTTGTTTTTTTTGCAAAATTAATCATTTGGTTTCTAAATATCAGAAAATGGTGAGAAATGTATGTAAGTTCAAGGAGGTCTTGGTTTTTCCAAAACCCTCTTTATAATGATGAATGAGTGAAATAAAAAAAGGAAACAACTTCCCAACGGAGAGGCTGGAATCAGCAAATGTATTTGCATGAAATCCACGAATAAGTTTTGACTGAACTGACTAATCAAATAACTCACTAACTGCTGCAGTTGTGCTCTCACCGTCTTGTGAAAGCATCTACATATCAGGGGAAATTGAATCAAACCAATTAAAAAAGCAATCACTGAAGGTATTAGCTCATTAATTCACCCAGTGTTTTAAATTGCTGATTAAGAGGAAATTAACTGACTGAATGTAATAATTGATTATTCATTTCAAGTAATTATTCAAACGAAAACTTCAAACATCTGTGCCTTGCTTCAGAATGAGGCTCTGCAGATTTTGTCACAATAATAACTGAGTTACTTCATCGTTTTGACCTGCTGTTTAGACACTTGAACTCTAGAAACCTGCTGGAGGCATACGTTCCTTGACTAAACAATTCAGGTGACAAACACTTGTCCACATTATTTTTTATCAGTTATGTTTTGATGCTTGTGCTCATTTAGGTATAAAATTCTAGAAAAGTTTTAAAAATTCTTCAAATTTCTGACTTTGTCTGACAGTTCTGAGCAAAATATTTTTCATTTAGCTACAAAAAAAAAGAAAATCAGCAAGTCCTTACATCGGAGAGCTGCCAGCCAGACAACCTTCTGCACTTCTCCTTATCTAAACAATTACCTGAACAATCAAATAGTTCATTATTGTAGGGTCAGCTCAGAAACAATTATTTTAAAAACTAAATGCTTCATGATTAGTGTAAATAATTAGAGTAGTCCCACCCCAACGCACATTACTCTGCAGAGTATTTAAACACAGGAATCCAGACTATCTGAGCTGCCACAGGACACATCTTTCATAGCATGACCTTCTCCTCCTGTGAATAGCAGCATACCAGCAAGAGACACAGTCCCAGGAGCCTAAAACTGGTAATGAGAGGGAACATCGAATTTCTAGTTTCAACAAACATAGACGGCAGATAGGCCAGATCGCACTGGGGCCCCTGTGCTGACCGTAGCTACACTCTCAGACAGTGGGATGTGGTTTGGAGGGCGTTGTATTTGTGTATGTGTGGGCCTGTACACTGGGTCTCTGCTGCAGATAGTCTGGGGTTTGTAGTACGAATGGTTGTCATACTGCTGCTGGCCTGCTTCTCCCTTGCACTCTATTTATAGGGCTGTGTTTACTGCGAAGTGGGAGGATCTCTGACTTCCAGCCGTGGCCAAGGAGAGCAGCCTCTGGATAAACAAAGCCAACACTGCAGCCTGAGGTGATCCCCAAAAATGTTGACATGCTGAGCAAAAAACTGCGACATCTTCAAGGGAGGGATGCAGCTAAAAAAAATTTAAAAAAAAAAAAAAGAAGAAGAGGGAGAAGCACAGCAAAACCTAAAGAAATCCATTGGGCATGATTGATTATTACAAAGTGCTAAAGGCTTTTTGGAGGTCAAGATATCTTACAAGCTATAATAGGAAACATGTCTCAGAAAATTCACAAAGGCTTTCTGGAAGACTAAATTTGGCCCACAAGTCTGACTCCATGCGTCCTGCTATGAACAGCACTCGCAGGCACATAACTGGAGTATTAACAGCTGGGGCCCGTGACCTCATCATGCCTCTGTGTTGTGTCAGCACTATCCATCATATACTCTGTGACAGATAACTTTAAAATACCGATATAAACATAGTGATACTTGCTCTCTCTCTTTCTGTTACACACACACACACACTCACATGTATGTATGCATGTGTATAAATTTATAGTCTCTGAAGGAACAGAACTCAAGGTGCTTGAAATCCAGTGTTCAGTTTCTGCAATCTGAGATGTAATTCAATTTCAATTCAATTTTATTCATAGAACACATTTTACAATATATGCCATCTCACAGCGCGTAACATAGTAAGGTGAAGACCGTACCAATTTTAAATTATTTGAGGTGTCATGTCATCTGCTGGTGTTGGTCCACTGTGTTTTATCAAGTCTGGAGTCAATGCAGCATCCACCAGGAGATTTTAGAGCTCTCCATGCCTCCATCTGCTAACAAGCGCTATAGAGATGCTGATTTCCTTTCCTTTACCAGCAGTACTCAGCAGCAAAACTACTGACAAATGGTTTACTCGGTCAGCCAACTCACCTGACCTGAACCCCACAGAACCCTATATGGAGTATTGTCAAGAGGAAGACGAGAAACACTCAACACAAAATACAGTCGGGCTGAAAGCTGATGTCAAAGCAACCTGGGCTTCAATAACACCTCAGCAGTGACACAGGATGGTCACCTCCGTGCCGCATTGTTGCAGTAATTCATGGTGAAGCAGACCCAACCAAGTATTAAGAGTATAAATAAACATACTCTTGAGAAGATAGTCATTTCTAAATTGTAAATCCTCCAACTCCAAGGGTCACTGAGTGCAAAATGCTGATCAAACTCCTTTCAACTTCAGTAACTGCAGATGCTATGAAAAATGTGATAAAGATGACCACATCCAGATTACAACCCTGAGTAGCAGTGATGTGAATGAAGCAACAATGTCACAAGATCCAAATTCCAACCCTGGTTTAAAAAAACGTGAAGATAAGCAAATTATAAAAGACCATGAAGCGACTCAGTAATCAGCTGACAGGAGGATGGCTGCATACAGCTAACCTTTGCATCTCCTAACCCCCATGAAACAGGAACTATGGTAGGAGGGGAGGAAAGGAACATCTTAGCACCATAGAAACGGAGGAAGAATAAGTTCAGTCACTGGTGACAGGCACTCTTCACAGTGCACACAACAGGCCCACACAGTAGCCTTGTGTGTGGCCCTCACCATGTACTGACACACACTTTTTGCATTTAGAAAGCTTTATTCACAACTCATTTAATGCCTTAGATTACTGCTTGGATACAGGAGCAGATGATTGTACCAAGATAGCCTCATCATATTGATCATAAGAATTAGCTAAAGACAAAGTGATACTTTTCAAATAAATGAATCAATGTTTCTTCTGGTCTGTTGCTGATTAATCTTGCATGACAGGAAGATTCAACAACTCAGGTCAAGAAAGCTTTAAAACTTGCAGTCATGAACAACTGGTGTTTGGCATATTTTTATCAGGAAAATCCTTAGGTACACAGGAGAAGGGATAGCATTTATCAAATTCTCATCCAGCTCCAAATCCTTTTAAATCCCTACTGAGTCTTACAGACTTACCTTCAACAAGTAGCTAAAGGCTAAATAGCCACAGCTCCAATATGTCCTACCACCTTCTCCTGGCTAAAAAGGTAAAACAACTGCTGTGTTCACCGTCTGAACCTCCAGTGCAAAAAATGTAATTTTGCTGCCTATAGGTTTGTCGTTGCTCTTTACTGACAGAAATAAGTGAGGAGATGAGGTTTGAAAAGAGATTTGTTGCATCATAGCTTAACAAATGTCTGTTGTGCACACTGGGAACCGGATCCAAATTGAAGCAGCTATTGTAACTCATCAACAGGAAGTTTAATACATGTGTTTACTGCATCAGTAAATTTAAACGAGAACTCAACACTTAGCTTTTTTTTTTTATTACTCACTGTGGATTTATTTTTCACTGCAATATAAAGTCCTGCACCTCTATTGAAACAGCACAACCATGACTAGAAGGACAGACAACTCAAAAATGTCCCCTGTATTTTGTAATTTTCTAAGAGCTTTATCCTGTGTGTTAATTAAACTCACTGTCTGTTACTAAACAAACCAATCAAATTATATTCATATAAAATGGTGAGACAACAATGTGCAGTGGATTTTCATGTCCACTGCAAAGTGCAGCTGAGGCTTATCAGTATGTAGCTACATTACATATTTGACCACGGAGACTAAATACTGTGGGACTGCCCATGCATGCAAACCTCCATTTCAAGGTCCATTTGTGATTGTAATGCACCCTGTTGGAAAGTGGCCTGTCCACACAGAGTCCCACACGCACGCGCACACACAAACGTAGGAGGATGAGGGACGGCCATCTGTGCTGAGTGCCATTAGCCAGAGTAAACCACAGCTGGGCCCATCCCTGACACCCCTGCCCCCACAGCCATATCCCCCTCAGCGACTTATGGAGGTTACATGGCGGGGAATAGCTAGCATTTTCTGACACGTCAAAACCCATCTCAACCAGGCCTGCCGTATATGAAGCAGCCCCTCTGCCTGGCTACAGGGCTGACAGCTGTCACACACACACCCAGTTACCGTAACAGGATACCATGTAACTGGTCTGGGCTGTTCAAATGAGAACCCTCATGGGTGACAACTCCCTAAGGTGCTTTTACTGTTCCAGACTCCAAAACAACTAAATTATTGCTAGGTTTTGTCAAGAATATGATTTTTGGTTGTTGGTCATTTCCAATGACTATTGTTGTTTAACAATTCCAACAGATTCTTTAAGATCTTTAAGACTATGTGAAATGTGCCCTCCAGCATCCTCCAAAGGAGAGCTCAGAGTTGAGTAGTTAAAACAAGAAAGACCTAAATGGGCAGCGCTAGCATGTAGCGGTACTGGACCTCAGAAGAGATGACAACAATGTCAACCAGGTCTCCATGTCTTCACCTGAATAAAAGCTTCACCTAAACAGCTGAAAAGGTCCCAGTCAAGGCAAAAATGTGCAAAATTGTTGAAGCCAGTAAAATCATACTCTGTTAAAAGGATTAAGATCCTTCCATGCAAGTATTCTCAAAACAGCTAAAAAATACAGTCGTGACTCGACAATCCGACACTAAATGTAATAATGTTATAATAACTAGTAGGGCTGGTCCGAATAGCACTTTCCGGGCTCAATTAATGATGAATATCAGAATATTCGACATGGTCGGGGTGAAGGCGTCCACCCCCGGGGAGTGCTCCAACGGGGTGGAAGTGGTTGGAACGCACAGGCAGTACTTGGCTACTGATGCCAGTTCAGTTAGCGGTCACAGTTCTGTTCCCAGTTACCACCACCGGTGGCGGCGGCACCACATCCCCACCACCACCACCATCCGAGTTTACTTCTGTAAACACTGAGCACGCTCAGTGCGTGTGACGTTGTTGTGTCCTCTTCTGCGCATGTGGGACACTTTTGGGTCGTATTACATTTACACAGCAGATCACATGCAAGTCGTATTTAATCGTAAATGTGAACAAACTCACAAAAAAATCAGGTTTCACAAAAAAATCCAAATTGAGCATTACGTCCTGCAGTCTGAACATAGCCAATCTGTGTGATTGTTAAGTCAGATAATATGCCGTTATCCTTATTTGTGACATAAAGTGTCATGTCAAAGTCAGAATCCAAGGCTGTCAGTATGTTACGGCTATTTTTCATGGGTTCTGTTCGCTTTTCCTAAAAACCTGTTGGATAGCAAGGTGTTCTGATTGTTCAGGGTCAGATTATTGAGCCATGACTGTAATCCATAGGTTGAGCTTTCATAGACCGAACTGACACCCTGTAACCCACCAGCAGAATCTGGCATAGGGAGAGCAGTCATACGAAGGTGACTCCAAGCAGAGAGCATTTCTGCTGAAGAGGCCATAAATCCTGTCAGCTTGCTGCATTTACATTCTTAGCATTGCTGTCTGTAGCAGAGAGACATTCAGGGATTCAACAGACATCCCAGCTAACTTATTGTTTTCCCAGTTTGACTGTACATTTTGTTATCAACATGCGGCTGTTGATTGTGCAGTTACTTCAGGTCAGGGTTGGTTTCGGTGAAAGCCTAGCACAGGCATCTCCAACATGCCTGAGTGGATAAGGGAAATACATGTTTGTTGGAGTATCTCTTAGTCAAGTTGTACTGCTCATTTGACAGAGGAAAAATCCTTTGGTACAACTAAATCTCTGCATATTGATGAAGAGCTATTCTTTTAATAATTACAGTGGCTGGAATGGATTAAGCATTTTAGAAGATTAACTATCAGTAAATCGGCTGTGACTTCATAACTAATAAAGTACGAGGAGTTAAAATGGGCATTTTGGGCTGGTTCTCTGATTTGGGCCAAGTCTACAGCAGGTTTGTATTTTATTCTTTTGGATATTTCTATGCTCACTGTGCAATACTCAAGCCTTGATGCAGAGACTCTAGCATAGGCTGCAAACAGTCATTTATAGGACAAAAATAGGGCTCCATCTAATAACATTTTTTTTGATTAAATGTGGAAAATATTGCATTACAAGTCACACTGCAAAATGTTTTCTCAGTCCACATTCGAAAAATGTTTAGTTTAATATCAAAAACATAGGAATCATCAAATGATCCTAAATGTATAATCTAACTAGCTGCGGATTAATTTCATATCAATATTGAAAACCACGACTGCATGACTGTATTTCAACCACAAATGAGTCAGACTCAGACTCAGTTTGCCTTTATACGACCTTAATGTCTGGATGAGTTTGCAGCGATAAAATCTAGAGGTTTTACTCATCTGAAATATTTTTCATATGTATTAATGTACCTTACCTTAATTATTCTCTTATCTACCAACCTGTATAGTATGTAACAAGTCAGAAAACAGTCAAAAATAGATGTCACAATATCCTAAAGCTCAATTGTCAAGTTGACTGTTATGTCAAGAAATATCCGTATATGTAACATAAATTATAAGCCAATAATAAACGAGAAAATTCTCAAAACATAAATCAGTGAAAAGCTTTGTCAGTGCTTTATTATATTCGGCAGGAATCTATTATATTCTGACACAGCAGCTATGTTTATGATGTATTGTTTTATCACTTTTGTTTCCATGTATAGGAGAAAAACAAAACCAATGTACCTCCATATACAGTCCCATTCTGCCTCTGTGATGCACTAAACTCAGTCACCTAATCATATTTGGGTGTTTCCTCACCTGAATCAAGCGTCTCAGGCTGGAGGATGGTGCTATGCACATTTCATAGCTGTGTGAGACAAATGTATGATTTGGGGGTAAAACAATAAACCTAGATACACGGTTTAACAGCGTAAATATTCAATATTTCCTTAGACTTAATGCGGTGCCGCAGAGTTTCCTAATATATATTAGCAGATATTAGCAGTTCTTGTTATTTTTTCTAGTAATGTGGAGGAAGAAGACATCTATCTGCACATTTCAACAGAGTGCACACTAAAGCTGTGACCAGAGGTGCGCTCTCTCTATGAAACCTCGCAAACAAGGCCCACAATGTTTCAGCCTCTCGGTGCTACTGCAACAGCAGCTTACTGTGCATCCTAATCAAATTGTCATGTCAGACTCCAGCCCTTTGCACGCCTTGCCTACAAGAATGGAAGGGTGCTAAAAGAAGATCCAGGCCGTGTCATCCTGCCCTAACCACGCCCACCGCACTGCAGATCAAAAACACCCACGTATGTCGTCTGAACGTCCGCTAATGGAACACTTTTAATCCATTCATTGTCCACAGATGTAACCGTGTCTACCGGTGACTCAGCGCTGTCCTTCACTCATGTACACAGCGGTGAATTAAGGGTCGGAAAGGCATTTGTGTCGAGCTGTTTCACCAGTTTTCCACTTTCCAGCCTCGAAAGTAGAGCACGTTAGCCCGCTTCACCTCTGTGTCTTTAACATATTCATCCAAGCCTCGAGTTTAGCAGCGAAATAGCCACAGCTGGAAGCAGCTCATTCAGCACAGAAACAACATCTCGCCATGACGTTACGCACCGAACGGCTACAAAGCTAAAAGCAGAAAAAGGAACTTATTCTAACGCCGCTGTCCACTCGACTTTTTCCGCCTGAGTGAATACAGCAAAAGTGTATCTCAATGTTAATTATTTGTCATCGGCCGCAGGGGCGACGTGGTGGTCGTACGGTCACAATATGGCAAGACAAGAAATAACGCCGAGAAATGTACACAAGAGAAGCGGGCATCTCTGCTAAGAAAGCCTGAGTGTAAGGTTAGTAAAGAGTAACCAGCAAAAACAGGGTTATTACCAGTCAAACCGTCCTCCTACAGCTGGTTATGCGAGTTGCATTCGTAGTGGGCTTGTGTTTCCTGACAGCGGTGCTACTCTGCTGCAGCTCCCTCTCCGCTGGCCTATCACGCTCCCTGCGCGGCTCACAGCAGAATTGTGGGATATGAGGACAGCCGGGGCATTATTTCAGCAGCACACCCCCAACACACACACCCCCCCCCAACACACACACACACACACACACACACTGAGTGGTGCAATTAATGGCACGAGGTTTGTTTTTTTGGTGGGGAAAGTCAGCAAGAGTCGAGCCTATTTATGGAAATGTAATTAAATGAAAGTGAATCAGTGGATGTAACAAGGTACATTAACTCAAGTCATTAGGTACTATGCTATGAAATTGTATATAACAGTCTGAATATATGGAATGAAAGTTTGAATATATGTGATGAAACTCTGAATATATATATAATGGAAGTTTGACTATATATAATGAATCTCTATGGGTTTCCATAGAGATGGCGGCACACAGATGCAGCGAGACAGCGAGAGTGAACGTTTTGAGTGTCTTCTCTATCCCACATGTTCATTCTGCAAAACTTACGCAAACAAAAATACAGAAATGTATCATTACCATATGTAACACAACGCCTACCCATCTTTTCTCATTTACTTATGTCCTTTCAACCACAGCTACATTTCCCTAAACAAAATCATCATTGTATAATTGTATATTATAATTATAATTTATTATTGTATTATCATATCATGTTATTATTACATTATATACAATTGCCTAAAAATAAACATAACTAAATTGGATAATAAATCTAATTTTCAGACTGCTACTGTTTACAATTCATAAATCACTCACAAAACATGGTTTTAAGTTGAAATTAGCAAATGTAAACACAACCACTGACAACCACTAACCATTAGGATTTTTAATTATCGGCACACCAGAACATATCTACATTTGTAATCATGTCATTTCACAGAAAAGTGACTACCTTCAGTCAGCATAGTCTGTAGGGGTTCTGCTGTTTTATACTTTTTTTTTTAAAGCGGTGCACAATATTCTATATTTTTTGCTGGTATCCAGTATGTTGAATGTTTCCTAACTCATTTTGGCAAAATGTTGATATTAATATAGCATATATGACAAATGTACACATTCACTTGCCAAAATTCAACTAAATGTAAAGCATGTGATATTTATTTTTACGCAACATTTTCAAACAAACTGCAACATGTAGGCTGTTATCGTGTTATTTGTCTGTTCATTTTGGCATTAAATACTAATAATAATAATGAAAATGAGCTAGCTCTGACTAGCCACTATGCAAAATTATTTTTTTGCAAGTCAGTACATCAGTAACAATAATCTACAGTACTGACAGGAGACGTGCTGCTGCACAATGAGCACTTTTCTTTTTGATAGTTTATGTACACTTTGCTCCTAACACTTTGGAACAATGTTAGATGTTGACTTTGTGGTATAGGATCTGAATGCTACTTTAAGCACAGAGTTGAGTACAAATAACTAGAACTGCTGACACTGAATTCTATACTGACTTCTTAAAGACACCATGCAGTCGGACTGCTTTATCATGTTCTTACACACCATGTTAAAACCAGCCAATAATGAGCACATGGGTAAAATGGCACAAACACACATCTGCTGCCCTCTTCTAGGTACATACATATGTTTGGGTGTGTGTGTGCACAAATACAGACATAAAAGCAAGTATTTAATTAGAGTCTGGGTTGTTCCCTCCAGTGATATGTGGGCTTGGCCTCCCGCCTCCCAGTGGGAACTTGACCCAACTTGGTCACCCATATGACTTTTATTTCATCTAATTGCTTTCATGCTCAAGTAGTAACCCTTACTTTGCACTACACAAACAGAAACCCACAGTCATTGACGGTGCGGCTTAAGAGAATTTTCAAATGTAACAGGACATGAATTCCCTAAATAGTGACAGCGACTTAAAAGGCATGCTTCGCAGATGGTAGACAGCAAATGTAATAACTTGCACAGTGCAACTCTTATATACAACAAACAGGTGACTCCGTATTCAGTCTCTGGCTATTTGTAGCAAAGTTTGTAAAATATGCTTAATAACAACAACAACTGTTTTACATTGAAGACATACAGTGCAATTCACATTACAGTCGTAAGTGATTTAGCCACAGCATGTGCAAGTTTAAAATCCTGAAGCTGCAACTTTTCAAGCAAAGAGGAAGAAAGAAGGGTGATGTGCAGCAGCTCAACAATAGATGGTAACAGAATATTCCTGTAACCCTCAATTCTGGGAGGAGAAATAATAGCTGGGGGTGGTTAACAAAATGATCTCAGCCAATGTAATAACTTACTGTGCAGTCATCCTGAGCCATACTTCAATAGCACCATGAATCATAAAAAATGTAAGGATTTGTTTTTACTTTCATTCTTAGCTCAGTGCTATGTAGCTATGGTAATAATGTCCCATTCTATGTTTTTTTTTTTCATTTCTCCACAGCTGGATTCTTTCACTTCCCCTTTCATTTCATGTTAATAAATCACAGACATTATTGTAATGATAAACCTTATTTACTGACACGAAACAAATTATCATGTACATTCCCTCAGTGAGGCTCTCGGAGAAGAAATGGCAGTAACAAATGACTACAATGTCCTTCCTTTGCCTAGCCAAACAATAGTTATCTACATTTAGAGCAGGTGGAGTCTGGCACAGTATTGTCATGGCCCGACAGATCGTCTCAGACATTGCTCATCAGGGCCTGTCTGGCCAGCGGGCGGTGACTGTCTGACTGCAGTAAACAATCATAAAGCAGAAGTGAAGGGCTCCATACTAGCTTGTCTTCACAGGGAATATCAATGCTCACAAAAATAAAGTGTAGGTTAGTTTGGCAATGTATTTTTCTGACTTAGGCAGATATTAAGTCAGGGAAATTTCATCTTAAATGGTATGTGGAGGAGTTAGGGATCGAACTACTGTCACCACTTTTAAAAGTGTGTTTCAAAGCGCTCGAGGTAACAGATACAGTAGAAAAAATACATTAACAGTCTAATCAAGTTCTGCTACTTTGATACTATCTGACACTGTCCTTCCTTCCTCCCTCTTTCGTCTTTGAAGGTAAGAGGTAAGTTCCAAGATATCTTGGGCAATGTGATGATGAAATTGATTTTATGGTCTGTATTATCTTAATGCTAGTCTGCAGCCAGTTTTATGGAATATGTGAATGGAGGAGCCAGATGGTGTGTGGTTTAGTGTTGTCAGTCCATAGCACAAGACAATGCGCCAACAGTGGATCACATCCCTTCTGTTTTCAGTCTGCTATCCCATTCTCTTTCCCCTTTACCCTCACCCTAATCACTCTGAGCCTGGTTCTGCCAGTATTCTTCCCAGTAAAGGGGAATTGTTTTTGTTCCCACTGTCACCAAAGAGCTGATGAGAAGGATTGCATGGGACACTTTGGGTTTGTTGGGTTTTTCTCAATACTGTTTTCATCATTTATAGTTTATTAGGTCCTTACCTTACTATGTGAAGTGCCCTGAGATAATGTGTTGTGAACTGGAGCTTTTCGAATAAAACCTAACTGAACTGAATTGGATGAAACAGCTGTAGTGCTGATTTTCAAATACTATCAAAAGTATTAGCAATACTTTCACAAAAAACAAGATTCAATTAATTTAATGTTTCATAAATCAAATGCAAAGCACAGTCAGCATAAAAAGTAGGCTCTGATTAGCAGTACCTTTCAAGAAGGATGGCTATGTAGATGAGCAAGTACATGGAAACATAACAGTCACACACTCGGGCTTGCTCTGAGGGATCTGATAGACTTTGACAGTCAAAGCAGAAAAACATTAAAGCATACATCACTCCTCTGATTTCTTGGAATCACTATGTAAAACCAAACATCCAGTACAGTCAAGCCTTCCTTGGTAGAAAAGCAGTAAAATGTAAACTGTTGATGGATATAAATGTCTCAAGAAAAAAGCAAGATTTTAGGAAGTGATATGTTAAGATCATCATCTGTGCTTTATCAACAAACAATCTATGAGAGGTTTAAATTCAATGAGATAAATAATCCCCTTACAGATAGCTGACGCTTTAAGGAAATGGTTGTATTATTCTGATTTCTACACAGATATCTGGTGTTTGATGTTCTTTCTTCTCTGTATGTATAGCGGCGCATAGATAAGTCTGAGTGCACATCTATGACTCCTTTGAGCCTCCAGAACAGCCCTTGGTCAGCAGAATGATTAATGCCACACAGGACAGACAACATGTGATCTCTGGACTCTACTTAGTTTATGTGGCTGCTTAACTCTTCACTTTTTTTCTGCTGAGCACAGACACTAAGTTCCTGTGCAGCTCATCATCTGCTCTAAACCCTTAGTTTGAACTGAGTTAACCTCAAAACCTTGTCATTTCTCAGCATTATCAAAATTAGACAACTTAGTATTACGTTTACTGTCTCTTCTTTTACTGAATTTAAAACTTTAAATAGGAAAGAAGTTGCATTTAACTGTGATCCTACTTACACAGCAATTCGGTTCTAATGAAATTTTAATTGAACATAAGTACATTAAATGCGTTATTTTTGCAGTAGTCATTAAAAGGTAATGCTGCAGTTTTGGGAGAAGAAAAAAAATCCTCAAATTTTAACAAGCTAATCTTGATATGCATGAATATGTGTATATGCTCCTTCTCTAAAATCAGAAACCATATGAATCTCATTATAGCAATCTAATTTCCAGTGCTGCAGCTAGAACAAGGAGGCTGGCACTTCATCAGAACATAATTATGTCGAAGCATGTCCCTTACAATATATGGCAAATAACCCATGTGATCCAATTTAAAAAAAAATAAAAAAATCCAGGCCAGCATTTTCTGCCACCCCTGCGGTCTCGAGGAAAATAAATGCTTCTCTAAGAGGATCTCTGCCCGAACACAGAATTACATTTTGTCTCCTGGTTTCACTATATTAGTACACTGCTTTTACGCTAACATGTGTCATCCTGCAATGAAGTCATTTCCAGTGAGAGCATTCTCAGGCTAATGTTTCAGTCTAGTTCCATTGTTCAGACTATAAATGCATTATTGACAGTTGAGAGTTTATTATTAGTATTCTCTTA